CTGAAGTTTCCATTTGTGATGAGAGGTGCTAGCAAACCGCACAAATGACATAATTGATTGAATACTTTGTTACTGTAATTCCTTTATCCATTCAGTCTCAATTTCTGATGTGGGGTGGTTGCAAATTGCTCAAGCAACAACAAACGTCAAATACAGAGAGTCCAGAATGCAGCTGAAAGATTGATCACCAGAGTCAAATAGACTGAACACATCACTCGTGTCAGAAAAACCTCTTCACTTGCTTCCCATCAAATTCAGAATCCAGTACAAAACCCTTCTCTTTGTTTTCAAGAGAGTCAAAGGACAAGCACCAAAATATCTGTCTAACCTTCCAAATCCTAATTAGCCAACTCGATCTCTTCGCTCCGGTGACAAGTCTCTACTACATATTCCTCGCACAAGAACAAAATCATTTGTTGACAGGTTTTCCCTATATATGGACCTTTCCTTTAGAATAAAAACTGCCACTTGGCCTTCGATCTCGAGAAGAACTCTCGGCTTCTAAAATTCAACTTAAAACTCGCCTTTTCACCACAGCTTATGCTTAAGAGGAAAAGTGGACACAGTGAGCGCTTTTGAGCCAATTCATCGGATATAAGCGCTGCATAACATTTTGTATTATGTATATCAATTATTTGTTACATGTGAACAAACAGGTTTATGTCCTTGGGAGCAATTTAGAAGTTGGAACTATATTGTGTTTATGTGTATCAGACAGACAAACAGACAGACAGACAGACAGACATACAGCCATTTTATTCGTATTTTTGGCCAAGGGGCCAAAAGTACAGTGACAGTTTTACAAAAAGTGTGTACTGGGCGCATGTTAGGATCAGTTAAATTCAACTCTATACGGTTGTTGACAATTTATATTAATCTTTTGGCACTTTATTTACAAATATAGCGAGTCATTGAATTATTTTTGTATTTTGAGTTTCTAGAAGATGTACAATGTTTTGTTGGTTTGGGTTGCTGATATAGAAATTAGGAATATATTTCTTTCTTTCTTCTGCATACAAAGGACATTCAAATAAAATATGAAATTCATCTTCCTGCAAGTTCAAACAATACTGACACATAACTATACTAATATCGTCAACTTTTGATCTTCTTAGCAGTCGCGACTATTGAACTTTGTAATGGATCATCATAGTTACGGAGATGATACGGCTTGTAGATATACTCGGGTGCAATGTTAGAGTTATATGTCGATTATGTGTGCAAAACCACATGGTAGCAACCTAAATTATTACCAATATGTGAAGCGCCATCCGAGCATAATCAGATCGCTGTGGAGCAGAGGAGCCCGTTTGATCGGAAGGTCGCCTTTCGTGGCGATCGGCGGTGCTCTGAGGTGATAACGGTAGTGCGATCAAGTAGCCATCTGACGGCTTTCTTGTGCAGGGAAGTCGACAGACGGCGACCTTGACGATCATGGAGATCAGTTAGAGATCAGATAATGATCCATATGTGCTTTTGGAGATCTTAGCGTTCTATATGACAATCTATGGCGTATAAGGGGCTGCTCGACGCTTGTGGAGTGCCTTACTCTCTGACTTCTTGAAGCAACGTTCTTCATTTAAACCAAAAGCAATGTCGTCTCCCTCCAGTTCCGCGACTACGGCCCAACCAGACAGGGATCTATCAGCTAATCTAATATGCTTGTTTCGCTTGTGGATCTCTCAAGCAAAACTCTCAAGGGAATCTTTCAACTATGGTGAAATGTACAATGTAATACATTGTTTGAGTCGTTCATTGCAAATGTGTTTGGTCTGTTGAGGGCGTTTATATATTTGTGTGTTTGACTTTAGAGAAAAGTACTCCCCAAGAAATTCATGACCGCAAATTCAAAAAGAGTAACGGGTGAAAAATGGGTCTACCAAATTGATCTCGAGCCAAAACGTCAGTCCATGGAATGGCACCATTCCAATTCTCCAGCACCAAAGAAATTCCAGTCTTCAGGATAAGTGAAGAAAGTTTGGCCCCTGTATTCCTGGATGCGAAGGGTGTGATATTTTTTGAAAGTCAAAAGACGTTTACCGGTGCCTAGTATGGCACTTAGCTTTATCGCCTGAGAGATTTTATCCAAGAAAAACCGCGAGGAATGGTGACTGCTCGAGTTCTACCTTTTCATTTTAGTACCTCTTCTCACGCATCTCGACTTGCAAAGGCTTTTGTGCGACAATGTGGGTTCGAAGAGCTTCCTCACCCTTCATAGTCGCCACACCTCGCACCAAGTGATTTCCACATGTTTCCTAAACTGAAAGAACACTTTCGTGGAAATCGCTATGACGACAACGATGACCCCAAAACTGCTGTTGATGTTTTTTTCAAGGTGGCTTCAGAAAACACCTCCCTGACTGGAATTGAAAAGCTTCACTATCAATATGAGGAGTTTATTGAAAAGCAGGGAGATAAATAAAATTTAAAACCCTTTCACAATTGTTTGTTTTGTTTGTTAGACTTAGAACGTTTTGACCAGCCCTCGTACCTAACACTCGAAGATCCGGGGTAGAATAGGCCTCCAGCAACCAATGCTTGCCTTAAAAGGCGACTATGCTATGGGATCGGGTGGTCAGGCTCGCTGACTTTGTTGATGCATGTAATCGTATCCCAATTACGTGGATCGATGCTCATGATGTCAACCACTGCATTGTCTGGTCCAGACTCGATTATTTACAGACAGCCGTCATAAAACTGGAATATTGCTGAGTTCGGCGTTAAACAACAAACAAAAAAACCTAACACTCTGACTCATAATCATCTATAGTTGAAGGTCGCTGGTTCAACTCCTGGCGATTTCACACCAAAGGACGGTAAACGATAACACCTATTGTTACCCTGTATGGCGGTCGGCATTAAGGATATAAAACAAGGACTGGTCGGCTGTCCTTGTCTGTGTGGGATATATTGTTAAACTTTGACATGCAGTGTATCCTAGAGGCCTAGTATTTTGGATCTGATCTATGGCCCCGAAAATCCAGTGACAGGGCAAGCCGATTTTTGATGAAGGTAGCAAAGTGCCATAGGAAACCACAATTAGGTGTTTAGAGTTGCATGCCTTAGTCAATCCAGGGCGATTGGGTTGCCTAGTGGTTAAAGCGTTCGCTCGTCAAACTGAAGACCCGGGTTCGATTCCCCACATGGGCACACTGTGTGAAGAACATTTCTGGTGTGCCCCGCCGTGATATTGCTGGAATATTGCTTAAGGCATAAGTATAATAAGCTTAAGTATAATAATCATTGCATTCAAGTACAGGACTTGTTGGTGAATATTCAACATCGCCTTTATCACAAAATTTTAAAGCAATCTTTAAGTTTTGTCAACGTCGAAGACAGGGGTTTTACAATTTGTGTATTGGCTCATTGTCATCGTGCCCCGAATGCGTGGATCTTTTGCTATGCTATTAGCAACTAGTCTTCTCGCCCGGATTATATATTGGCAACCATGACTTAACTTTAATATTGCTGATTGGGGAGTAAAACAATATTTAAGCATATTTCACTGGATGGTAGGACGATGCATCGGACATTAGTATATTCTCTTCGCCTTCTTCTTGGGAATTTTCCCGTGGACACGCCAGAAACCTATGATTGTGGGTTCGAATCCCGGTTCGCCCCGATTACGTTTCCAGGTTTGTCAGCACTATACCCGTGCTCGTGGGTTTCACCGAAGTGATAAACGTCTGAGACCTGCATCACTTCGGGCTTTCCTCCCACATTAAGCTGACACGCCGCAATATAACTGGAATACTGTTAAAAGCGGCGTTAAACACAACTCACTCACTCACTCTGGGGAATTTAATGTGTCATGCCCAAAACGTATGGACTAAATCAAACACATTCTTGACTTATTTACCGATACAAGAATTGCAAAGCACATAGAATCACGGTGCTTATCTAACGATTACGCCGCCTACGCCCGAGACAGACCGACTGACCGATAACTTGAAGGCGCACATCCAAGGATAAATTAACTGAAGTTTAAGCATTTATTGACAGAAGACAATAACAACCTAGCTACATCATTGAAGCTTAAATTGAGCAATTAACAATAAGACTCACACAGCGTGAAGATGTCTGAACAGGTGAGTACACACAAGCTGGCAGTATTGAATGTAACAAGTCACTTCTAATACACATCCGATCCAATCTAAATACACAGAGAATATTACAAATCTACACAGGTATACGTTGCCATAACGCCAGTCTAATCAGATTAACGGACATCGCTGGGACCATCTGTTATGTAACCCGCTTCCATATAAACATCTGGACAGAAACTCCTTTCGTTGGGGGAACCAACGCGACTGTGCGAACTCATGTTCGGGATTTTCTTGCAGAGGAAACATAGCGTTAAGCTTATATAGCTTGAGGGGAGAAAAGTGCAGGCGTCGGAGTAGTAACTCCAGCTCGGGTGGTCCTCCATGTACATATTTGAAATGACATTCAGATTAATCCAACCGCGACAGACAGATGTGATCTACAGTCATCAACGTCGAAAAAAGGCCAAGGACATTTAAGCAACTGTCACAGTTTAACAGTTTGACACCGAATATATACGGTGTACGCCAACAACATATTATATATAGGTCTAAGCCAGGATGTATAGTTCACAACACAGGGCATATGCAGTCTGGACCAACGTGTATGATTAACAATACGGGGTGTATACAGTCTGAGCCAGAACGTATTGTTGACAACAAAGTCAACATCACGTCAACTTTCGGTCTTAGGCAGAGTGCAAAGTTGAAAGCACATGGTGTATATACGGCCTAAGACACAACGTGGCCTATTCGGTGTAAAACAGCACATATCATTGACAACACAGGGTGTGTAGGTCTTTGTTAGAACGTAAAGTTGACATAACAGTGTATGAGCCACTAAGCCAGACTTTCATTACGTTATTGGTGCAAAAAGTACGTATTCTGTTTATGCGATATGGGTTGAGGCGTCATGGCGTCTTGCCGCTGCATGACACACCCAAAACACTTACGAACTTACGAAACTGTCGCAATAGACAACGTGGATACCTTAGTGTCACTTGCGCTTGTGTCTCCAGTGTACTTCCGGCTTGTTCGTTTCTTTATTGGACAGCATGTAATGACACGCCTGAATTCTTCACGCAACGGCTGACTGGCCACGATGTAGATGATGAAGTTAGCGGAGGAGTTGACAATTTCAAGCCAAGTTGACATTATTCCGACGACCTTGTAAATATTGTTCCGAGTTCTAGGGAAGCTGTATTCGTAGTCAAAGAGTTGTATGAGGATTAAAAGTGCACCTGGTGTCATGCAGAAGAAGAACAGGAGAGCCAGACCCAACAATGTCTGAGTGATGCGCTGTTCTGCTGACGTCTCGTCGCGATTCTGATCCGTCATCTGGGAGCGCGTTGACTTGGAGCGGTACAGTCCCACAATGATGGCGATGTTGCAGATGATGACGACGGCGATGGGGGTGAAGCGAAGGAGGGACGTTCTGAGGATATAAAGCGCAGAATAGAAGTCAAAGTTCTTTCCTACCTCCGACACTTTGAGAACTGTGGCCATTTGTGTCGAATTGGGTATAGGGACCTCAGTAGGCACGTACTCCAGGGAACTCGGAAGATATAAGGCTACAACCAGAAGACTGCAGATGAATATTGAAACTCCCATTGTCTTCCTTGTCCAAAGTGATTTAACTTTTAAAGGTAACAACACAGCACACAACCTCTCCAGCGTCATAACTACGATCAGTAAATTTGATGTACTACCGAAAACTGACATAAGAAAAGATCCAAAATATGGAAATGCTTTTCGTGAGATATAAAGTCCAGGTTTATAGTCTAAAGCGATGGAGATTCCGATCAGAGAGAAGAGTATCGTTCCAATGAGGTGTAGAAAGTCATAGACAGTTAGAGAGAGGAGAACCATCTTGGTTGTGTCCCGCATCTTGTGACGTAATAAGACCACAAAACTGATTGCGTTTCCAACAAGACCAATGAGGGCTGTTACCGGCATGATGGACGTGTACATTACCATCCTGTAGATAAACACGGCTTCAGCTGGGATGACGAAGTAGCCGGGTGGATAAAATGATTTAATCGTAGTGGCTGGTTCAGTGACATTCAAGTCATCTTCTGTTCGATTTGGTAGAGTAGTGATCTCCATGGTAAAGTTTTCCATTTTAGCTGGATCTGTAAATGGGATGAGAACAATTGTCAATGTTGATATTTTACATTTGACAGTTGTTGTATAAAGCCTAAATTCTGTATTAATTTATCAAATTGACTTGTATATCCTTTGTGTAGGAGGTTGTCATGGTTATAAAACTAACACCTTATCATGCTTAAAGAGTAAGCTATTGTTTGAAGTCAGTTACCGCAGTTTTGATATCGGTCGTATGTATTCAGGTGCTACGGAGGAACATAGTGTTTACAATCTCGTGAAGTATCGACGATGCATTTAGCTAAGACTCACGACCGATCGATAACGATTACGATTACGATTACGATTGAGATATAATGAAGTTAGGTGGGGAAAAATCGTTGTATGTATGATAAAGTGTCCTTTATATGATCCAGGTGTAGAGGATGTATATTGTTTTACCTGTATGTGCCAATTGTTATCACTAATGTAAATATGCATACATTTAAAACTATAATTGCCACAAACGGTCCTGAACAAATCAAATCATTATGCTTGTTTGTTTATGATGCTTATGAAAGAAGGTTGTTTAGAATCATGTGTATTACCGCTACTGCACTTGTAAATTGTCATTTGTATCTTTACATCTGACCTTCATACTGAATAAAGTAATGGTTGATTGATTAGTTCTGCAATTCATTTTCAATATATATTAATATTTATATAAGTTATCAGTATTGTTTCATGTGCATATTATATGTATCTCTTAATGTGTTTTTTGACGCGTGATGATCGGGGGTAGAACAGGTCTTCGGCAACCCATACATAAAAGGCGACCTTGCTTGTCGTAAGAGGCAACTAACGGGATCGGGTGCTCAGGCTTTCTGACTTGGTTGATACATGTCATCGTATCCCAATTGTGTGGATCGATGCTCATGATGTCAATCACTGCATTGTCTGTTCCAGACTCGATTATTTACAATATATTTAAAATCTTGCTGAATTCGGCGTTAAATACCAAACAAACAAACAAACAAACAAAACATGATGTGTTTTGTGTATATTGTACCTGATATATTGTATTTCAAGGACTTTCAAATGTATTAAGAATTCCCTTGCTGCTAATTTAGTATTGTCATTGTCATGTTTCTCTCAATGATGTCCAAGCTAACCCGTGAGATTAGGATCACCCGAGTAAGAGTGAACACTATATCCATAGCCGTGTACATTTGGTAAGTGCACCAAGCATTAAGCCATTTTGTGGGCTGGCTGGGATCCTGGAATGAACACCCTCTATGCTTTAAAGACCCCTCATATATTTTGCCTAATGTTCTACTAAATAATTTCAGATATTTTGAAATAAATTTGATAAATTGTTATTGTTTTAGAATCATCACGTTTTTGTTAAAAAGTTACGTATCAGCTCGACTGTTCGTTGAAACCACAACAAGTCTCAAAATGGGTTTGGGTTTTAAGTAAAGAATATTTTCTGTTGTGATATAAACTGTAGTAATGGCTTTTTCGCAGATGAATGTTATAGCAACTATATGCTAATATATGCCTTAAGCGGAATTACACGATTACATTATTATTTGTGCAAAATTAATTTGCAATAACTTAAACAAATTACCACGGGATGATGGTCTGTTGCAAACGACAAAACACAAACACTGGTTTATGAAGGTACTAAGAGGCGATTGCCCTAAGTTGTCATACAGAGCTACAAATTCTTTTTAATAAGCGGATATTTCACCAATAAATTCAAATAAAGATAAAATATGAAGATACCACTGAAAAACAAACATTAAACAATAACACATCACGAGACAATCGTAAAAAGAACAGGAATATGGTCGTAAGACGTTAACACATACCTGTAGGGCAAAGTAGTCTCTTCAAAGACAGATGGGGAAGTGACAGCGAGTTATTAGTGAATCAAAGTAACATAACATCTCCTAATGGGCCAAATGGATTTGTAACCATCACGATGTTTTCCGCACTGATCAATTTTCACTTGCCTAACGTTAATTATCACCGCTGCCAGAAAGGTGGTTTGTATTAATGCGTTCTTTGTGTTGCTTTTGGTCATCACGAGGTGCTTGTCAAGAATCGTCTGAATGTTGATCCAATCGCTGTCAGCTTGTCGACATTGAAATTGAAGGTGAAAATGATATGCAGTGATTGTATTGGCTGCATAAGACATTTCATCCTAATACGATGATTGTTTTAGTCAGAAATTATTTAAATAAAAAAAGAATTCACTAAATAAAAGTGACAAAATCCTTTCCATATTCATATGAAATCTCTGCCAAAAGCAGAGTCAATTGTACGATTCCGACTGTATCATGAGCATGTGTTTATAAGTCACTATCGAACACTGATGATGCCAGGTGTTCCCCAAAAGGTGAGCGTATCCTGCCCCACCGGTGGCACACGTCACAAATACACGCAATTGCAAATCAATTTTTCACTTAAAAAAATACGGGAACATATGGTACATGTCAAAATAGGGAAGTGCATGTACATCATGCTTGTAAATGATGCGCGCGTCACATTTGGACATTTCATCCGCATGTCTACCATTAAACCTTTTGAAAACTTTCCTGAGGCCTTGAATGTTGTAACCTTGAATTAGCAATTTCGTATGAGGCTCTGAGTGAGTGAGTAAAAATTTAACGTCACATCGGCATTATTTCAGCCATATCGTGACGAAAAAAAGTATTATATTAAAAATAGTTATATTTAGACTGTATACAAACCTGTCGTCGAAGGACAGTAAAATAACTAGATTTATCACAGATTTTATTTACAACTAGTCGATAACCATAAAAATATAACGATACAAGATAGAAATGAGCAATAGATCGCCAGCCACTGAAGAGAGATCACCATGCCAGGGTCCATGGGGACTTACAGTACTTTTGCTACCTGCATGGACCCCAGCTGGATTTACATCATCCCTTCAGCTGTTGGCGATTATTGACAAATTTAGCCAAACATTAAAACAACACATATGCTACGATTGAAAACGTGGTAGAAAAACAATATACTTTGAAAGACGTGATTCTACATACCCTCTCAGGGGGACAATAATTATACACTCCTTTAACCCCCTTCGAGAATACAATCTCAGTTACTGATTTATATTACCTATTGTAAATGTGAATTTATTTATTTACATAACATCATAATCAACATTTATGAAACAATTCAATTTCCTTAAAAAACAACAAAAATAAACGAGAACTTACCTGATGAAAACAATCCTTGATTCCTGAAACTTTGAAATATTGATCCCTCGTGATGGAAAAATCAATACAGTCAAGCAGGACATGCTTGATCGTGATTCTTTCATCACAAGGGATGCAGAATGGAGGATCCTCACCTTTTAGTAAATATTCATGAGTATATCGTGAATGGCCAATACGACATCGTCTCAATACGACCTCTTCAAATCTGGACTGACAACCCAAGTAGGTATAACCGATATTTGTTTTTATTGGATGTAATTTATTTATACCCATTTGGGTGTCCCACTTCTTCTGCATTAGATCTCTGATGTAACATATAATGACAGGTTTTTAATCACCTATAGGAAGTGGTGTCACAGACTTGTTAAGTGCTGCCTTTGGTGCAGCATCAGCCAAAATGTTACCAACGATCCCAACATGCTGGGTAACCAACAAAAGACGATGTCGTTTTGGCCATTTGCGAGATTATCGTGTAATTCAATTATTTCAAGTAATATTGGATGCTGACACGACATATTTTTCATTGCTTGAAGACAGGACAACGAGTCTGAAAAATGATAAATTCATTGTGTTTAGACTGGCTATTTATATAGTTTAGAGCAGTTAATATGGCCTTTGATTCTGCTGTAAAAATTGAAGAGCCATCCGGTAATCTAGTTGATATAGAGTCGGATCCAATGATGGTAGCGCTGGCAACAGCAACTCCATCCTTGGGTCCATCTGTAAATATTGATTTGTAAGTGTTATATTCGCTTCTTAACTGATTATATTCTTGTAGATATTGTAGTTGATTAGTGTCAGATTTCTTTTGTTTAGATAATTGTAAGATCCACCTGTGGCTTTCCCAATTGCCAAGGAGGAGAAGAAAGCAGGCGGAAAGGATATATATTTTCGAGTTCATTTTTGCAGCAGAAATGAAAGTTTGATTCTGATTGCTAGTGGTGGAATAAATGATGATCTTTTATTGAAAAGATCCCCATAAAGAGGATTAAAAACGCAGTTGTAAGCTGAATTAGACTTATTTGAATATAGTTTAGTTATGTATAATTGTAAAGACAGTTTAATACGGCGCTGTTTAAGAGAAGGTTCATCGGACTCAATGTACAAACGGTCAATAGGAGATGCTCTAAAAGATCCAGGGCAGAGTCTTAGACCTTGATGGTGGATGGAAACTAAAAGTTTAAGATTGCTTTTACAGGGCCCACCATAGATGATGGAGCCATAGTCGAGTTTAGAACGGACAAGTGATCTATATAAGTGAAGTAAGGTCGTCTGATCTCCTCCCGAATGGAATAAGAAACGACCTTTAATAAATCCAGTGCCTTCAGACATTTAGCTTTCAAATATTTAATATGTGGTAAGAAAGTAAGGTGATGATAAAAAATTATTCCTAAAAAATTAGCTTTTTTCATTGGATTTTAATTGGACTTCCAGCTATATGTAATTCTGGGTCCCTATGTGGTTTATATTTTCGACAGAAATGGATACAATTAGTTTTAGATTTAGAAAACTTAAAGCCGTTCTGCTCTGCCCAAACATTGATTTTATTCAAACAAAGTTGCAACTGTCTTTCAATCAATCGTGTGCATATTTTTACCTCGAAATGATACATTAAAATCGTCAATAAATAACGACCCTTTAACAGAGTCAGGTGGATCCCACATGTACCTGGAAAAGCCTATCTGTCCGTATCGCGTGTGTCCACCATGTGCATTGATGACTGCCGTGCAACGTCGATACATGGAATGGATGAGGCAGTTGATGAAGGCCACAGGCACTAGATGCCACACACTGAGGAACGTCTGACGCAGTTCTGAAGCCATTCTGCTCGAGGAAGTCTGTTGTTGCTCTCTCAGTATGGACACGGGCGTTATCATACTGAAACTCGTGGATGCGGCGACGTGCCAAATGAGGTATGGCATGTGGTGTCAAGACTTGATCAATGTACCGAGCTGCTGTGACACCATTGCCTCTCCCTGGACCGATGTTCTGGAAGAACACAGGGCCGACCCTCTGTGCAGGACCAATTCCACCCCACACCATGATGCTCGGACCACCCCACGAGTCTCTCTCAACAACACAAGCATCCGAATAACGTTCCCCGCGGCGTCGCCAGACTCTCTGCCATCTGCTGTTGAGATACAGTAACGGCTCTCGTCTGAGAAGAGGACTCTTCTCAACTGCTGGTGGCACCAATGCTGGTGCTGTGTTGCCCACTGAAGACGGTCCCGGCGATGACGTGGTGTCAGCATTGATCCTCGGTGTGGCCTGTGACAGTGGATGTGTCGACGCACGGATCCGCACTAATGTGTCGCTGGTGTGTCCCCATGATCTGTCGAGCAGTTTCCGCAGCAGTAACAAAGTGATCTTGAAGATGCTGTCGCCAAAACCGAATAACCAAAACCATCATCCAGCAACTACGATGCTAATGGAGTGCTTTCTCCAGTACTTGACCAATGGGCGAACACACTTCGTGAAGATGTAAGGGGCTGACGTGAGACTAAGGAAGAACTGCGAAACAGTAATACTTTCCAACACCTTGGCGTTTCCAAGTATGTTGACTAGGATGGATGTCAATGTGATGCCAACCTGACTTTAAACCAATATTGGGACCTGAGTTTTCGAAAAAGTCTAGTGCGACTTTATAGCCTTCAAAAACAATTTTATCTTTCGTGACAAACTGATTCACCTATCTCAGGTCTCTTTTTGCCTGAACGCTGAACAGACACTATAAGAGGATAACAACACGAGGAAGAGTATAACTTCAACAATGCATTCGTTTTTCAACAGTTCCTTAATAGACTCTGAAACAAACTTTCGATTTCTTTACAGCAGAGCTATTGTTTTTACTGTGTGCACGAGGTGGGCTGTCAGCTAAGGGTAACCTTCCTGAATAGTTTTGAGAATATATTCTGATGCATCAATGTAACTCCAAACTGAAATACACCTCCTTAAACTACCTTTCGCAATTGCAGAAAATAGTGACTCAATTTCAAATTGATCAATCATAAATATGTCTGAACATCCAGAGTCTTGATCTGTACCTCGGAGAGTTGAGACATCAGAATCGCCTGTGCGTGTGTTTCCCAAACTGTGTTTATTGGGAATTCAGCATCTGTCCCGTGTGAAGTTTTCCGACAAGAATCTGAAAAGGGTACCTTGTCGTCAATCACAAAGATAGAAGCGTAGGCTGTCTGATAGACGTATTGCCTTTGCTGAGCTTGAGGAAGATACAGATCTCGGCCATGAATCCATTATGAAAGTATTATTTATGAACATTTACAGATGAAAAAGATATCTGCTCGTTGGGTGCCAAAGTTTCCAAATGATCTTAAGGAAAAAAGAACTGGCATAGCCAGAGAAAATTGAGAGCTGATTGAGGAAGATTTTGTCTAATTCTAAAAGAGATTCGTAACGGGTGATGAAACATGGGTCTACCACTATGATCCCGAGTCAAAACGTCAATCCATGGAATGGCGCCATTCCACTTCCAAAGGAATTCAAGTCTTGAAGATCAGTGAAGAAAGTTATGGCCGTTGCATTCTGGGATGCAAAGGGTGTGATCCTTTTTAAAAGTGAAAAGAGTTCTTTTTTTATATTTCAGTACCCCTTCGCACACCTCTCGACTTGCAAAGGCTGCTGTGCGACAATGTTGGTTCGAAGAGGTTCCTCACCCTTCATACTCGCCAGACCTGGCACCGTTTCCACCTGTTTCCTAGACTGAAAGAACACCTTCATTGAAATCGCTATGATGACAACGATGACTTCAAAGCTGTTGTGAATGTTTTTTTCAGGATGTCTTTAGAAAACACCTTCCTGACTGGAATTGAAAAGTTTCACTATCGATATGAAGAGTGTATTGAAAAGCAGGGAAATTATCAGGTCTTTGAGAGGCATTTAGAAGTGATACACACAAGGAAGAGAATATACGGATGTTTCAGAGTATATGCTTACTCAAAATTACTATGTAGCTAATTACTGTAAAGTTTTGGCTTCCATTGTCTATTGCTAATCACCTATCAGCGCCAATCATCTGTTGGCTTCCCTTGTTAGTTTCTACCCTTTGTTTTTTCCACCTTTTGTTATCTTATTTTGTTGTTGTCCTTACTGTACACATATATGCTATCTGCCTCTTGGCATTCATTCACCAGATGAAGGAGTAAGCATGTACTCTGACACGTTGTATTCCTCATAATAAAGAAGTTGACATCCATATAATCTCTTCCTCAGGGAAATTATGATGTAAAAGTAAAATTAAAAAACACTTTCGAAATTGTTGGTTTTGTTTGTTAAGGTTCGAACTTTTTTACCAGCCCTCGCACCTAATACTCATTCATAATCGTCTAGAGTTGAAGATCGCTAGTTCACAACAAAGGACGTTAAACGATGACACTTTTTATTACCTTGTCTGGCGGTCGGCATTAAGGGTAAAAAACAAGGACTGGTTGACTGGTTTACTGACACAAGAAGTGCAAAGCACATAAGCACATACGATTGAGTAACGCCTCACAAACAGAGGAACCGAAACGTTTTAGCGAACGTAAATACACCCACGTGATGTTAAAAATACATCAATAGACAAACCGATGGCATTATGGCGCAGAGACAAGGATAAAACAAACTGAAGTTTGAACATTTATTGACACAAAACAATAATAACCAAGCTAAAATTATTGAGGCTTTACGTGAGCAATTAACAGTAAGACTCACACAGCGTGAGCATGTCTGAACAGGCGAGTATACACAAGCTAGCAGTACTGAATGTAACAAGTCACTTCTAGTACACATCCGATCCGATCTAAATACACAGAGAATTTTACAAATCTACACAGGTATACGTTGCCATGACGCCAATCTAAGCAGATTAACGGACATCAATGGGCTCCAACCACCTGTTGTAACCAGCTTCTATATGCAAATCTTGACAGTAACTACTGTCATTGGAGGAACCAGCACGACTGTGCGAACTCATGTTCGGGATTTTCTTGCAGAGGAAACATAGCGTTAAGCTTATGTAGCTTGAGGGGCGAAAAGCCTAGAAGTCGGAAGAGGAAACTCCGCTCGGGTGGTCTTTCACCCCTAGCGGCTATCCAAGGCTGTTGAGTGAGTTTTCTATGAAACTATAATCCGAAACTACGGATTGGCATTTAAACTAACATAAGTAGTACGACAATCATGATGTTGTGCAGCAATTGAACTTTAAGAAGATTTATTTATACAATCAAGACCTAAGAGGTCTTTTAATTAATGAAAAATCCGATGGAATTAAACATTTAATCTACATAAGCAATAACAATACAAGGGAACGGCTCCACAATCTGAACTTTGTCACACAGAGCAAGACGTCAATGTTCATATTTGAAATTACACTCAGATTGATCAAACGATGACAGACTGATGTTATCTTAAATCATCAACGTGAAAAAAACCCCTCAACAGGTCAAGGACATTTAAGCAACTGTCACATATTTACAGTTTGACACCGAATACATTCAAAGTTTATATAGGTTTAAGACAGAATGTTTAGTTCATAACCCATCGTATATAGGTCTGCGACAGAACGTACAGTTCACAACACAGAGCATGTGCAGCCTGGACCAACGTGTATGATTAACAACACGGGGTGTATACAGTCTAAGCCAGAACGTGTAGTTGACAACATAGTCAACATCCGGTCTTAGGCAGAGTGCAAAGTTGAAAGAAAACTTTGTATAAATGGGTCTAAGACAGAACGTAAAGTTGACAACATAGTGTATATATGGTATGAATCAGCGGTCAAAAACATAACGTATCACTGACAACACAAGGTATGTAGGTCTTTGTTAGAACGTAAAGTTGACATTACAGTGTATGAGCCACTAAGCCAGACTTTCATTACATTATTGGTGCAAAAAGTACCTATTCAGTTTATGCAATATGGGTTGAGGCGTCATGGCGTCTTGCCGCTGCATGTCACACCAAAAACATCCTCCGGTGCATTTGAACTTATGAAACTGTCGCAATAGACAACGTGGATACCTTAGTGTCACTTGCGCTTGTGTCTCCAGTGTACTTCCGGCTTGTTCGTTTCTTTATTGGACAGCATGTAATGACACGCTTGAATTCTTCACGCAACGGCTGACTGGCCACGATGTAGATGATGAAGTTAGCGGAGGAGTTGACAATTTCAAGCCAAGTTGACATTATTCCGACCAGGTTGTAAACATTATTCCGAGTTTTAGGGAAGTTGTATTCGTAGTCAAAGATTTGTAGGAGGAGAAAAAGTGCACCAGGTGTCATGCAGAAGAAGAACAGAAGAGCCAGACCAAACAATGTCTGAGTGATGCGCTGTTCTGCTGGCGTCTCGTCACGATTCTGATTAGTCATCTGGGAGCGCGCAGACTTGGAGCGGTACAGGCTGACACTGATGGCGATGTTGCATATGATGACGACAGCGATAGGGATGAAGCGAAGGAGGGACATTCTGACGATGTACAGCGTAGCAAAAAAGTCTCGGTTCTTTCCGAACTCCGACAGTTTGAGAACTGTGGCCATTTGTGTCGAATTGGGTATAGGGAAATCAGTAGGCACGAACTCCAGGGAATAGGGGAGAAACAAAGCTACAACCAGAAGACTGCAGATGAATATTGAAACTCCCATTGTCTTCCTTGTCCAAAGTGATTTGACCTTTAAAGGTAACACCACAGCGCACAACCTCTCCAGTGAGATAACGACTATCAGTAGGTTTGATATACGACCGAAAACTGACATAAAAAATGATCCAAAATATGGAAATGCTTTTCGGGAGATATAAAGTCCAGGTTTATAGTCTAAAGCAATGGTGACTCCGATCAGAGAGAAGAGTATCGTCGCAATAAGGTGTAGAAAGTCACTGACAGTTATGGAGAGGAGAACTATCTTGGTTGTGTCCCGCATCTTGTGACGTAATAAGACCACAAAACTGATGACGTTTCCAACAAGACCAACGAGAGCTGTTACAGGCATGATGGACGTGTACATTACCAACCGGTAGATAAACATGTCTTCAACAGGGATGACGAAGTAGCCGGGTGGATAAAATGATTTAATCGTAGTGGTTGGTTCAGTGACATTCAAGTCGTCTCCTGTTCGATTTGGGAAGGAAGCGGTCTCCGTGGTAAAGTTTTCCATTGTAGCTGGATCTGTATGTAGGATGAGAACAATTGTCATTATTGATATTGTACATGTAAGAAATGTTGGACATTGATTTATTAAATTGACGTATATTACCATTGTGCAGATAGCTGTCATGGTGTTAAAATTAACTGCTTTTCGTATTTGGAGATTAAACAATTTTTTTGCATTTTAAAATATTGTATCGCAGATTTGATATTGGTTGTATGCATGCACGTGTGAAGGATGAACAAAGTGTTTACAATCGCGTGAAGTATTAATGATGCATGAAAATAAGGATCACGACAGATCCCAGATTGTGATGTGTATTTTCCTATACCTTCTGGTAGGCTATATCAAACGCCACGTCCCCAACAAATCCCAATTCGGCACATTGCAAAAATATTGTCAATACACGCAATGGCCAATATAGATAACTCTTCCATTTCTTTGGTTTATTTACATCTGCCCTTTTATCTCAAGATACTTTTTCAAAAGTAGTAACCAAGTTATATTCACTGTGAGAACTAACGAACATAAACCGAGCCATGACCCTTTACCATAGAACTATTGGGCATCCCGGATTTTGTCACAGTGCCAGGTAGGGGCCCCTCAGTGACTGGTGCATGCGTTATGGGGTTTACAAACCTAGCTGTGACTAGAGGATTCACTCGCACCACTGAGCCCCTCACAACAAGTAAGGCAAAGAACAAATATAATATATGTCAGACTACATGCATCTACTCGGAGATGATAACAGAAATGCCAACTAAAGTACTATTGACACTTCACTGAATAAAGACCATAATTTTAATAATGGTCCTACCAACAAATATACTCAATAAACTAACTGACCCAGATATCAGTATATAATAGCACGCAACGTAGTTTAACAAATAATAATTAACTGTGACAAGTTAAAATGTCAACATGAGATCTAAGTAAGAAGAACCTTGGAACTAACCAAGCTTCCCCCATGTATAGCATCAGAGAGGTCCGGGTCAGCAGTGGTGTGAGTCCTCCATGGGGACTGGCCCATGGAAGGACATCACAATTATTTATTACCCTGGAACGGACCTTAGAGGAAGCACTGGCAAGACGTTGGTACTAAATACTTGTAGACAGGCACTTTGGGCCAAAATGTGTTTGTGTAAATTTGATTTATCAAATTTAAACAAATGCCAGTTAAATTAACTTTAGTAGTTTTGACACTATTTCCATGTGCAGAATCTGGCCAATTATAACATCTACCAATTAAAATCATAGCAAACTAAAACGAAATGATTAAAAATTATCAGTATCATTTCAAAATAGTAAATTTAGTATATTATAAAAACGTTTGAAAATCATAAAGAAATCACTTCACATGTTGTTAACGTATTATTTAAGGCACATGTAAGTTATGTTGATAACACTGTGTATCGTGAAACATATGTTCTGTCTCGTCACAATGTACAGAGAAGCGATTGTCATACAGAACTACATCTACTCTCAACAGCGGGTATTTTACTTGAAACAATGACACAGCAATATACAGTCATAAAATTAACAGGAATATGTACTGATAGAGAACAATTTTGTCAACAAACAGTTTCAAAAGGACACACATACCTGGAGAGCGATGTATTCTCTTCAAAGATGATAGGGGAAATGACAGACATCAGCAAGTTCAAATAATATAGCATCTACTCGGAAGATGGATTCTAAGCCATCACTAATTTATTCGCATTGATTTATTATCTGTTTTGAATTGCCGATCATTATCGCCATGGCGGGGAGAGGACAACCGTAGGTTGTCTTGATGTTTTCTTTGTCGGACCATTGGTCTAAATATCTAATACCGTCCAAATGTTAAACCAATCCCCGTCAGTTTATCGACATTGACCAATGTTTTTGTTTGGGCTACCCAGACGGGACTTCATTCATTAACATCAGAATATTTCTTCCCAATACGACGATTGTTGTTTCAGAAAATACTAAAATGAAAAAGTACCACAAAGCCATGTTCCTAAGATTCATACCAGTTCCTATCTTTGCGTTATACTTAATCCATTCTTGTTCCATTCCCAACCCAAACACATAGTCACATATCCATTGCTAACCCTACCATCCTTCCATTGGTGGGGATCTGAACATGGGTAGATTCCCATCCATTACTCTACATGCAGTCATCTCATCCACATTATTTCAGATATCCAAGACCGCCTCCGGAAGGTCGGGGACTTTGAACCCCGGCCGCGTCATGCCAAAATACGTTAAAGGATGATACATGTTGTTACCATGTCTGACGCTCGGCATTAAGGGTTAAAACAAGGAATGGTCGACTCGGAGTCAGTGAACTGTGTTTGAGTGGGATATTCTTGTTAAACTTCGGCATGGTATCACTGTTGGCTGGCTCTGTAAAATCGGTATTAGTCCAGACTAGTACAAGCAGCAACACACACGTCGCTATATAACTGCAACGATCTTGAACGCTACGCTAAACATCATTACACCTCACCCCATCCCATCTACCTATGTTCAGATCCCAACCTATCACTCCACCTGTCGTCTGTGACTTAAAATTTTAACTCACTCACTCACTCCACCTGTCGTCATCTCATCTTCCCACGTTCAGATCTCCACATATCACTCCACCTGTCGTCATCTCATCTTCCCACGTTCAGATCTCCACATATCACTCTACCTGTCGTCATCTCATCTTCCCACGTTCAGATCTCCACATATCACTCTACCTGTCGTCATCTCATCTTCCCACGTTCAGATCTCCACATATCACTCTACCTGTCGTCATCTCATCTTCCCACGTTCAGATCTCCACATATCACTCTACCTGTCGTCATCTCATCTTCCCACGTTCAGATCTCCACATATCACTCTACCTGTCGTCATCTCATCTTCCCACGTTCAGATCTCCACATATCACTCTACCTGTCGTCATCTCATCTTCCCACGTTCAGATCTCCACATATCACTCTACCAGTCGTCATCTCATCTTTCCACGTTCAGATCTCCACCTATCACTCCACCTGTCGTCATCTCATCTACCAACGTTCAGATTGCTACCTGTCACTCCACCTGTCGTCATCTCATCTACCCACGTTCAGATCCCCACCTATCACTTCACCTGCCTTCATCTCATCTACCCCAGTTCAGATCGCTATATCACTCCACCTGTCGTCATCTCATCTTCCCACGTTCAGATCTCCACATGTCACTCCACCTGTCGTCATCTCATCTACCCACGTTCAGCTCTCCACATATCACTCTACCTGTCGTCATGTTATCTACCCACGTTCAGATCCTCACCTATCACTCAACCTGTCGTCAGCTCATCTACCCACGTTCAGATCTCCACCTATCACTCCACCTGTCATCAACTCATCTACCCACGTTCAGATCTCAGTCACGTCAAAGGTATGTATGCATGTAAGGCCTCCAGCTTAAGTAGTTTTACATATTCAGATACATCTTAATATTTAACAATTCGCTTCTGAGAGAAACTGCATTTTTGACATATATAGCAAGTTTTAAAATGACAGCACCATCTTTTGAAGAGAGGAGAGAACTAAAAGTAGGTACAGGATAATTTGACAGATAGCGATAATGTGTTAACTTGTTTCTTAGATAACAACGATAAGGACATACACAAGTAAAATGAGTTTCATTTCCTATAGTTGAATGACATAATGGAAAGAAACCTCTTCGATTTATCAGTGTACATTTTCTTTCTTCATTTATCATAAGATTTAACAAACCAAGCCTAAGTTCCATACAAGTCATACCTTGAACTGTTTTCTAGTGTGGAATGCCATGGTCCTAGTAAGACATTTATAGATTGTTCATGAAATTGCTTCAAAAAGAGTTTAACATCACCTACTGTTTGGTTTAACCATGAGAAGCCGTAGTCACGAGAAAACAAAAGGTTTCTAATATGTTATGCTCATGTAACTTTGCCCATGACATCTTAATGTACAAGCATATTATAAGCCTTTCATCCAACCTGCCGTCAGCTTATCTCCGTTTGTTCAGATCTCCAACTTTTTCTTTTGGCAAAAACCGATACCAGAAACACCAACTTATCAACCTAGTTCCGTTCATACACGCCGTTACTACACCTAATTAAAAAAGGTTGGATTCATTAAGCGTGTAAGTACAGCATTTAACTTAATGTTCGTGTAGAACGTTGTTGCTTTCGTGGTTACTTATGTGTAGTTTTATCTTGGCGAATGCAGTGTTTATGGGGGTGATGGGACTTTCAACGGCCCAAAAATTGAGAGCCACAGAAGGTTCTGAGTCTCAGAAACACACTGTTGACACACGTCCGCACGTTTACCTACATGCATAGAACACACACCCTGGGCGCATTATCGTACTGCCATTCTTATCACAGAGCAGATCAAAGGGGCTTCGGTGCCAAGTCATTGTTTGTTAATGAGGCCTTCATTACTGGTATTATATTTATCCAAAAATGAGATGGTTCCCCTAAAATCGATGTACAATGACTACAATGACTACAATTCTGACACTTCTGACACTACAGCTGTCACATAGGTTGAGATAATGATGGTGTTTTCATGTTATTCCACTTATTGACGATACGTAGTTCACATATAATCAGTCCAATCTTGACTTGACAAGATTTTCCGTGTTGTCAATGTCTAATTCCTTTGGAGGATTGATTTCTTGTTACCGTATGTGAATGTTATGTGAACGTTCTAAAGAACTAAACAAATGTGTAATGAATCTTGCAGTGGGGAAACTCAGTGAATGTCATTCTCTGGGGTGGAAATGATGGTAGACAACACCCTGTTTGTCTCCGGTCTTTTGTGCCCTGTTTTAGAAAATTAATCTCATGAAAACAGTTTGTTATTTTTTTTTTCTGAATTGATAAACAAACCTTTTTTTTTAATGTGTAGATATGCATGTATGTGTTACCTCCATTTGAAACTAAATTGAATCTCGAACCGAAAGCGCATCTGTTTAGTGTAGATCTATAAAACATAAATAATTTTTTTTGGCGAAATCCTTGAAATAACAGTGGTATTTTCGACGTCCTTCCAGGGCAAATAGGTAAAATAGGTGTTTGAAGGTGTTTCAAGTGGAGCAAGGAATAATTCTTCTTTGTGTTCTAGATCCACATATATTTGGTTAATAAGATGAGTCGGAAGAAGTGGATGGAAAGAAGTGCCGTGAAAATAATATGTTTTCCCTTTGGATAATGCGTGCAGCCCACATCGTCTTTACAAAATATCATTTCATGCTCCCTGTATTACTGACTTGTATAGGTCTTCAGCAACCCATGCTTGCCGTAAAAGGCAACTATACTTGTCGTAAGGGGCGACTAACGGGATCGGGTGGTCAGGCTAGCTGACTTGGTTTATGCATGTAATCAATCCCAATTGCTCATGATGTCAATCACTGGATTGTCTGGTCCAGACTCAATTATCTACAGACCGCCGTCATATAGCTGGAATATTGCGGCGTTAAACACCAAACCAAAAAAAACAAACAAAAAAAACTGACTTGTAATTTTCATTCTGGTTAAATCGCCCATTGTGAAAAGGGAATACTTCCTTTAGTGAAAAGCCAAGAACCATAAGATAGATCTTCCGGATGTGACAATGAGGTGCGAAGCAATGTCAGTGTCAGTAGGACAGGGCTTGTCAGTGGGGCAGTGTAATGGACATTCATACACGAGTACAAATTGTGTGCTCACTGTCCAGCGTCGTCATTGGTGGGTAGAGTTAGAGTCGGTTCATGTTCTATTGGGCAAATCCATTTGAAAGAGGATGTTAGTCATTGTAAATCTGTTTGACATCAGTTTTTTTTTTTTTTTAATTTAATTAGTTTGATAGGATTTAGCCCCCATTTGGCGACATAATTTGGAGGTGTGTTTTCTTTATATATATAACTTTGAAATTTGTATTTGTTTGTCTGTTTCACCCAAAAAATGACACAAACAAGCGCTAATTAGTTTACTTACTGGCCCTGTTAAACATAATCAAACTATGTTACACGCTGTCAACTGTGATGACATTAAGTTCCTTTGATTCGATTTCAGCGGTACGTATATAATTTAATTGTGAAATCAATAAAAAAAAACACGACAAGTAAGTAAATACATAACACATTGTATTGAAACACAAAGGAATAGTTTTACAATCACAAACGTCAATAGGTGAAAAATCGTTTGTGCCAACAGCAGTGCAATAACAGACCCTATTGTAAGTCAGTGCACTCACCGGATCAAGAAGCTGTCAAAGTCGATTGTCTTCATTGTATCTGCAAGGCACGTGTTTTCAGATAGGTACCCTGTCCGCACTGTATTGCTGCTATATAGTGACATCGGCAGTATTGCAGCCATATTGGAATATCAGCAGTGTTGTAACAATACATGTATAGCGACATCGGCAGTATTGCAGCCATATAGCAACATCGTCAGTATAGTAGTCATATGGTAACATCGGCAGTATTGCAACCATTTAGTGACGAAAGTAAACACAAATGTGTGGCGTCACCGGGATGTTTTACATCACAGTGGTAACTAAGTTCGATGACATCACAATCGCAGCATATCTCTCACACATACATCAATCTTATTGGAACAGTACAATGGACATATTTCGTGTGATAGGTTGATAGTCCGCTTTTAGTTATTACATGCAAATTAACTTTGGTTGGTATTAGCCAATGAGTGATCTAAAAGTGCGCTGTTAATACTGGACTCGTGGTCATAATCCTCAGTACTAATATACTGCTTTTTTATAAGCTTGGAACGGATGAGGGAATACGGTAATCGCAGTTTGGCCAACTTCTGTATACGTGAGTAAATGAGGTAACTAAGCATTTAACTGTTTCAATTATATCAGCTTAATATTGGAGAAAGGCCAAGCCGACTGTCAGCGGATCCTGGTTTTAGATACGTCTTAAACCACTTAGTCACTTGAATATAAACGCTGTTAAGTGAGCGAGTGAGAAAATAGTGATGATACATGTAGTATGACAGCGGCCTCTATCCATACTCGATACTACATAAAACGAACCAGTGGTCGATCGTGTGAGCACGTCTGTTCCAGTACAATGGCGAACAATCCGGTCCAAGCTTACTATTCCTACTTGTTTCAAGCACTTTAGTCAACTATTTCCACAAAGGACGTGGTAGTTGGTATTGATAGTGAATAAGTATTTGATATCAGAAATGTAATGAGCGAAAAGAACAAATAACGATAAAAAGGAACAAAATGTGGTTTTATTTTATTACATCATAAGCTGCTTGACGAATACATGGGCAAAATGCATTGAATACTTACCAGTCAAAACAACCATCAGTATGCTTAATGTTATGATATATGTGTTAATATACTGAATCAAAACAGACGTTTCCGATAAGAAATGAGTAAATATAAAACTTGTTTTGTTTTGTTCCACCGTAAGAGCTATTGTATACATACATCATGAAATGGTCCATAGTTTAATGTTGTGCGTAACAAATTATCATGATCATATCCTTAATCATGATACACCAGGATAGAAATCCTGAGCAAAACCAGAATAGCTTTTGGAAGTACAATCTGTCCTGCAAAAACAGAAACTCCCCCTACTGTTGACAGAAGAACCCAGTCATTCCATACCATCATGCATTTCAATGAACCATGCCTACTGCACCTTCAAACCAGATGCATTGCCTTGCCTCGGATGACATAATTTGTGGTCTAAAAAGCATTTTAAACAGAATGTCCCATGTCCCATTTCATCTATCAACAGAAGGAAGTTATATGCCATGCCGGTTTAATGACTTCACGTTCGTTCTGGGATAACACATGTCGGAAGAAGTACAGTAAACACTTATTGAGTCATCATGAACATTTTCGTGAGTGTATGACCTTTATGGTTCTTCTGAGTAAAAGTGTAGGTGGGTCTGTTGAAGGAAGGCGCGTACCAAGTTTTATTGACCTGGATTCAAGCATTTTCGTTTAAGCGGGTTTATCTTCAGGCTATGACCTCGAGGAAAGACTTGATCCCTAGGGTTGGTTATAAAGGAGAAATAATTGGTATGTTATCTCTGAGAAGTCCAAGCACCGCGTGGTTTGTTTCGGCAGCGACAGCTAAATTCTTACAAATCCTTTACGTATTACCACCTACGTGGGGCAGAATGATTTATTTATATATAATGAACAAGTAAATCACTTGCTGTAAAGCCTACCGTACTTGGGATCTTCCAATATTAACTATATGTGTTTGAAGTTTAAAGTAAGCTAAATATACTGAATATTAATACTATGTTCCTAAATTACGAAGGCGGTTGGGTAGTCTAGTAGTTTATGCGTTCGCTCGTCAATTGCTAACATGGGTACACTGTTTGAAGCCCATTTCTGGTGTCCCCTGCCGTGATATTGCTGGAATATTGCTAAAAGCGGCATACACCCATACTCACTGACTCCTGTTTATACAGACAATATTGTTTTTAGGGTGCATTAGTGACGAAATACACTCTTTATCCCAAAGTATAACATTGATTTAGTCGAGTGAAATAACACGATCAGCGTAACATCATGGAAATCGTGCAAGAAAATACATTATCAATGGAACATTTGCCTGTTTATAAAACAACATGTGTATTTAATTTCGTGATCTGCAAAGTTGACAATTTCACAGGTGGCTGCCCCACAACATATCGACTTTGCAGGTCACTTGATGTGCTAAATATGTTATTTAAAAAGAAAAGACACATATCCTCCATATATTCTTAACATAAATCTACAACTTTTGAATATATATAAATTCCTATCTTAAGTAAACAGTATCATTATTCAAATAAACATGAACCAGTAACAAGGACTGCGCATGTCACCTTCAGTTTATTCTGACTCCGAATAATTCATCTGTTATGTCTTTGTTTTGAGGATACAATATTAAGTATTTTTTTTAATGAAGATTGTATCTGTCATAGAGTTATAACATATGTTAAGCATAGGCAGATTTGTATTCTCCACATATATATAAAGACGTTTACTCAAATAATTAGCTACAATCAGGCATTAACCCAGTCCCTTAAGTGTGGCATATCAACTAGCCATAAAACCAGTCCCTGAGATGCATCACGTCACTTATTCATAAACCCAGTCCCTGAAATTTCCGCGCGTTAACTAGTCATAAAACCAGTCCCTGAGATGTAGCACGTCACTTATTCATAAACCCAGTCCCTGAAGTGTGACGCGTCAGATAGTTATGAACTCAATCTCATAATATTCAGATCTTAGTTCTCGCTACCGCTAAACAAAGATCTCTCGACATCCCATTACGGGTCACGTCAGAACGACCTTTCATCCGACCAATCAGAACATCGCTCAGCAGATCAAGAAAAAGTGATAGTCGGAATGTGTTTTCTAATCATTCAACCTGGAGTATTCCGAACGACATTTATGGCCTGGACGACTGATTCCATCAAAATCAACCTTTATCTCTCGCTTCAATGGGACAAACGTTTGAACGGAAGAGACTTTGCATAGCCCATGGGAAGTATTGTCATACAAAATTGGCCATGTATTAAATCTTGGACATTTTAGAATGTTTATTTGTTCAGTTTTCAAATTGTGATTCGAGAATTTGTCAAAATATTGTTCAAAGCGTAGTCTGGAATTAAAGTCCTGAGTTTGAACCTAGTGCCGTATGGCTCGAGAAAACTGCTTTCTGATTGGTTAATGTCAACTTCCTGTTAGTCATTTCAATGGTCAGTCAAAGTTCGAGAATGGTCGATGGGTCATGACCTGATACGGGATGCCATTAAATCTATATGTTGTGGTAGCGAGCACAAACATCTGATTTTAATGAGATTGATCATGAAGTGTGGCGAGTCAACTAGTCATACACCAAGTCCCTGAAGTGTAGCATGTCAGCTAATTTATTTCTAAACAATATTGTCTTCCCGATTTGGCTGATATATTGCCGATGTGACGTTAAATAGTAACTCACTCACTCACTAAACAATATTGCAACTGTAACATAATGTTTCTGCTGAGATTCAGTAGAAGTTCAGAGCATTCTGTTTTGACCATGATAAGTTGTCATGAATATATTGCTATCTAATGTAAGCAGTTGTGTGGAAGTTACTATATTAAGATGTCATTGGGGCGTAACCTAGAATCTTCCGGAACAGCTGTATTAGTCCATCACTGAACAGAAAACCTGTACATGTATTTGGACTATATAAGGAGCCAAGTACCTGCCTCTCTGATCTCACATTTCATCTCACATTACATCAAACCAGCGGTTGTGTGAAGATCAATGTTTTCACCCTGGATCTTTCCAGCTTATCACTGTTGCTGCTCGGTGAATATTATTATCCTTACCTTTATTACAATAACCACTGCTATTGTATTTTATACTGCCTTTAAAATTTGTAAGGCATTCTATTATGTACAGCCATTGTAATTACTTTGCAGTAATTTGTATTACTTTATTAACCTAGTTCATCATATAATACAAATGTTGATTGTAAGCCAAGTCTTTTTTGTTCGTTGGTTTGACACTGAATTCTTCTGGATTTCTGGAAACTTATTGTTTCAAATTGGAAGTCGACACGTAACAACATAAACCCAGTCCCTGAGATGTAGTACATAAACTAGTCATAAACCCTGTCCATAAACTAGCCATAAACTCTGTCCATGCACTGCAGCATGTCAGCTGGTCAAAAAACCAGTCCCTGGAGTTTAACACAAAAACTAGACTTAAACTCGTCACCAATGCGTCAACCTCTAAGACATGACGTCGTCTATAGATCCAGGAGGCCTCACGTTTATCTCAATGTCTCTCTCTATAAACGCGGCTAACTCAGTGGCCGTCTTCTCATCAATGGACTCTCTTCCGTGTCCTGGCCTGTCAGCTTCCTAAAAAAACATGTTTTACAATGTACAGTTCAATCTAATTCAATACTGACATACAGCACATATAAGTTTAGAAGTATTTTCGTTTTATAGTAAAATCTAAGCGGATTTGAACAGTATTTCAGTTATAAAACTCTACGCCATATCATTTAGTCTGATCAAGTTAGTGAGTGAGTTGGGTTTAAAGCCGCTTTTAACTGTTGACACGACCAGATATATCACGGCGTGTCAGCTTAATGTGGTAGGAAAGACCGAAGTGATGCAGGTCTCAGACGTTTACCACTTCGGTGAAACACGCGAGTAGTATTGTGCTGTCAAACCTAGAAACGTCGTGGTGAAGCGGAATTCTAACCAACAATCATAGGTTTCTGGATTGCGCAAGGGAAGCAACTCTTCACAGCGAATTGCGGCGCCTTAAACGACTGGCCTGAGTCTGATCAAGATAAAACAGTTCTTGAGCAGCCATGAGTACAAGGACAGGAGTTAAGCACAATGACACTTTGCAACAACCCGATCTGCAGTTTAGTCCTGTACATACGGGTACTGTGCTATGTGTTAGTCAAAAGGAGTAGGCTTCACACATTGTAAATATTGAGATTAACGTGCACATAATCCAATTCCATGCTTTACCTTGAGGATTGTGATATAAATTATGAGCATTTCTTTCCGCCTCACCGTTTAAGCAAGTGCACACTTTACAAGGGATTACCTGTTGGTGTTTAAGCCCGCATCGACACGCCTCTCTCCACTTGGAGGGCAGACAGCAGCAGACGACATCAAACAGGGGACAGATGAGACGAGGGTCCATCTTCTCGATGTCCTCAAAACCTGTAACATGAAGATTATTCAGTTGACTGATTATACCGGGTATAAGTAGGGTATACATTCACATAGTGGTATAAGTGGAGTATATGTCTACATACCCTAATATACACAGGGTTTACGTCACAAGACTACCCCGTGCGTTTAAAACAGTCTTTAAACAAATCGTGTGAGTCACGGATGCTACCGCTAGGGCAGGACCCTTTTCGCGAACATCTGGTGCCTCCACTCAATTTTAGTGATCCATTCAAATAAGTTTCACCGTGGTATCGCTATTTTCCCCGTATGCCCAGTGGAATCTGTTTCGGCAGATAATCGAGACTGATTATTCCTGCATGTCTATTTAATACTAACGAGACGGGTATATCTCCTGAACCCATGCACTGATAGAAATGAATACATACAGTATATACAGTGTTTACAGACTGTTATCTGAACCTAAGAACATTAGGCTACATGACCGAATTGAATAAAAAAAATATTAGTGGCAAGGTCATTTCTGTCACGGGACAAGTGAACACGGACATAACTATATAGAACCCACATGTACACGCCAAACCAGAAGTTGGTAGGTAGCAACTACCATTTTCTCGCTGGACAGTAAAAAATGTGGTTTCACCCGAGCACATGGAGCATGATTTAGGCAAGAATTTAGCCCTTTTATTCATATTTTGAACTAAGTCTAACGTGTATCATGCACCGATGGGTTTCAGGACCATAATCGTTATAGCATTGATATGCGACACTCAATAACAAGTACAATATATTTTTACTTTCCGTTTGATGTAACTGGGCTCATTAGCGACGAGTCGAAGACTGGGTGTTTTTCAGCGTGTAAACTGTGTTATTATTTTCATACTAGCGCACGTTTGTGTCAATTCTAGCTTTATGAGTTTATTTTAGGATTTGTATCAATCTATTCCCTATGCGTAATGTATGAATTCCGAAATATTTAACAAAACATAACTTGTATGAGTTGATGGTAATTGGTTGAACGCTGTCTAGGTTGTTGATATTTATAAGTTGGTCGTGCTCTTCAGATTGCCGATTTGCCACATTGACTCCATGTTGAGGATTTTTATCCCTCCAGGAGTGATGGAAGACATTATACATTGCTATTACTCATTACAGCGAATGCTTTCACATTCAGTGATAGGCCATATTAAGACTTGCAGGTCTTCAAACATTATTCACTGATTAAATTAGGTTTCTTTAAGACTTTGGTCTTTTCGACGTAAACTGGTGGTAAATAACACACATATCTCATCAATTGCCTCGATGTCAATGGTTCTGATAGGAAAACAATAACGTCAAATTGGTACAAAGGACGCATGACACACTTAGTATAAGGGACATGTAAAATAATGCCACATTGTGGTATAAGGCCAATATGTTAACGGAGGAAAAACTCTGGATTTGAAGGATTCTGGCACCTCCAAATGATCAATAAACGTTAACTTTTTAACCTCGGACGAAAATACCGACTTTGCAGCCGATGTACGGATCGAATCGTTCAAGAGGACACTCCCAAGATGATTCATTAATTCAACAAAAACGCAACTACGGTGTAATCTAAACGAACATATCAGTTGGGTGCGTTGTGTTCAAGGTTGTTCGCTGGGAAAGTGATAGATCTAGAGTACTTCCCTGATCGCTGAAAATAGAAATACAATAACAAAATAATAATACACTACGTAATGTAGAGTCTAGGAACTATCTGAAATCATTGGTAAGGATTTGCTGCGAATCTTGTTTCATTGATGTGGCTTGAACAACACACGAGGAACAAGGGCAACATTGTGTGGGTGATGAAGAAACCTGAACATTTCCAACATGCGATTTGGCAGGGACAGCGCTTACCCCTATGAAATATTCAACTTCGTAACTCCGAGTACTGTCTCCACCCTCTTATTGGTTGGCGATTGGAAGATGGTCGCTCTGTTTCTTAAGCCAAACATTTATGTGCCCTTCACTCACATGTGAAACGAACACCTGGTGTCACATGGGTGTCAGTCTCGATGAAAATGTCGGTCTCATTTCTTGTTTGTTTCCGGTATGATTAATACGGTATACGTATTTGAACTGCTCACGGAATTGGAGATTTGCAATCAGACAAAGTCAGCATGGACTCACCTGTGAAGAAGCTGACAGGTAGCCCAACCCCCAGAACTATCAGCACAGCAGTGAAACTGTACCACAGGTATGACAGGCCGTACAGGCTGTTAAGGGGGTTCCTGTAAACAGGGGTTTCAATAAACAATCAGCATATGTGTACGGTCCGTGTACAGGAACCAGCTACACACATGGTAACACAACAATCGAGAGAAAATATTAGCACTATTAAACAACATTACTGCATTCTCTCATATGTGGTGCTGAACACATAATTAAATAACTAGTATTAAGAATTGACAAATAGTTTATTATTTTGAAAAAAATGCTAGATCTGTGAAAAAAAAGACGAACCACGTGACCTAACCATGAAGGACATTACCCATGTTACCAGTGGTGGGGACATGTGTCTTTGTGACGATGATATCGAGTTACATTCAACCCCTACAAAGTAGTAACAATATGGGAAATCAAACTAGGGTTTCTGACTGGCGATTACACACCACTGCCACAGGCTTATTTACATATCATGTGACCGGACGTTTCTCTTTTTTGTACATTGTATTCTGAAATCAGAACATTCTGGCCTAATGGAAGCCTTTACATACTGTTTTGCATAATTATATAGAGATGCTACTACAATGCGACAATGAGCTAGATGCATGACAATATATCTTCATATCTCAGAGTGGCCGTATCGCTGGCTTTCCGTTATCTTCCCGAGGCAAGAGCGTCCGCTAGCCTTACTATGAAAGTCTTGTTTCCAACCTTGCCACATCAAGTACACTTTCCTGTACTAAATATGATTGGACTATCGCATATATCGATAGTCCAATCAGAGATCCTTTCACAAAATCAACATTTAAGACTTGTACATATTCGTATGAAAGTGTTTTACCGTTGCCTGTCTTTGTTGACACGAATGTGTCTTTTTGATCTTTTAAACCCCTCAACGATTGCCTATGTTTTTTGTGTCAGGGATGAATCGCTAATGTTTTCGTGATCTGATCGACTAGGTCGTCGCCTATTGTAGTTGCCATCTTTGTGAAACCATACGAGATCTGATTGGATATCGCGTTTTCATTACAAGGGACACAACTCGTGATCTACGCGAGGCGGCGCCAGGGTCGAGCCAAGAAAAGTGGCCTTGATGTGGCAAGGGTAGAAACTAGGCTTTGATAGAGGCTAGCCCACACGCTTGCCTCGGGGAGATGGCTCTCCGTATGGCTTCGACGACAGCACGTGAAAACTTACAACTAATATAAACAAAGGATAACTACGCAAATGGAAAATAATAGTTATTTACGTTTCAGGATATTTTCTCAAGGAAAGTCAAACTTTCTATGACATATGGTTATTTAGACATGTAGTCTAGTAAAAAATTAAATGGATGAAAAACATATGCAATATCGTCACATGGCGCTGGCCTGTGGAAGAAGTACTATGCTGGCTGCCGGCCGCAAGGAACTATGGATAGGAGAGTGTGGCCGATCGAACCGGCTGGTTACTTGGCCGACTCATCACACCTTCACCAACTTACGGGACACGGTTGGTCCAGCCGTCTAAGGAACAGCGATTCTCTATTCTCCTCATTTAAGGAGCAGAGCTGCGTCCCTCCGGCGAGCCAGAAACCTATGATTGTGGGTTCAAATTCTAGTTTGCCCCGATTGTTTCTAGGTTTTTGAGCACCATACTAACCTCGTGGTTTTCACCAAAGTGATAAAAGTCTCAGACCTGCATCAATTCGGGCTTTCCTCCAACATTAAGCTGACACGCCTTGATATAACTGGAATACTGTTCAAAGCGGCGTTAAACCAAACTCACTCACTGCCTTTACATTCCTTGAAAGGCGCATCTTCGAGCTGTTTGTCAAAACATCAAAAAGATCATTAAGGCAAACTGATGTGGATCAATACATTGCCTGAATACTCTTACCAGTCCTCCGCTGGTTCCGTTCCGTTAAAGACACTGGGTGGCGTTGTGATGTTGAGCGAGGCCAACGTTGACAGTGTGGCGTTGACGTCATATCCGGGGGAGGTGTACATACTTGTCGACGTTATGTTCCAATTGCATCCCGAAATACTGATTGGACTCCTATTCTTTGGTAGCTGAGCAACGTGGGAGCCAATACCGATCCAGAACATCATAAAGAGGCTGATGAAAAGGCCGGAATATGCTCCCTGGTAGGAGTACAGAAACTATAGTAATACCACACAGGAAATACATTTAGAAAAATATTACAATAAATATATTTAAGTGATTGATGTATTACGTGGAAGTAAACAATACCCAAACTATAAAACAGCGGACTGCAATGTCTCACTGCGAATTAAATGGTTGATACCGTGAGCACCGATCCGCCGGGTGAGGATGATTTACTTGAACAGCCTGTTAAAATGTTGAGAGTTGATATGGTTGCCTATGAACTATCCCATGCAATGGTCAACACTAGCCACCCGGTTCTCATTTTAAGTCATTTATCACAAGAAACGTGCATGTCTATTTTCAAAAGGATATCCACCCGAAATCCGTACGGGTGTATATATCTCGTGCACCTACCCATTTATTTGCCCATGGAAACAGCATGCCCAACGTGAAGAGTCCAAGCATGGGCGCTCCCAGCATTCCAAACAGAGACAACGCCGCCTGGTGAGATAAACATTAGTTTGTTTGTAGTTTAACGCAGCACTCAGCAATAGTCCAGCTATATGACGGCGGTCTGTAAATAATTGTGTCTGGACCAGGCAATCCAGTGATTGGCATCATGAGCATCGGTCTACGCAATTGGGATACGATGACATGCATCAACCAAGTCAGCGAGCCTTACCCGATTCTGTTAGTTGCCTCTTACGACAAGCATAGTTGCCTCTCACGACAAGCATGGGTTGCTGAAAACCTATTCTAACCCGGATCTTCACGGGTCGAGGTAACATTAAAGTATAAATGAGTGAGTGAGTGAGTGAGTGAGTGAGTGAATGAGTGAGTGTCAACTTAATATGTGAGGAGAACCCTTGTATTAGTGTGGCAGATCATTTTACTCTTCTGTGAAACACACGAGTAGGGTATGATGCGGACAGACCAATGATCCTAATCAGGATCAAGCTCCTTCCCAGCGTGTGACACCTCCCTTACTCTCCTTGTATCACAGTACAGAGAGCTCCGCGGACGGGTTATCGCTGTGAGGAGCTGGAATCAGGGTGAGCTAAAGGCCGCAACTCACAGCAAAATACGGCACGTTATATCACAATATATGTCCACCAAATCGCCAAGTATATGCATGGTCCCTATAACAACGGTTTAGTTTGTATGGAATATGAAGAATCGGTTCAATCTGTGAAAACCTCTCGAAAAGTAATTTAATTAGGATTGGTATTGCCTGACGGTGAATCTGAAAATACTGAGGTACTGAGGACGTCAGACCACTGAAAATGGGCTACCTGTAGAATATCGCCGAGTTTGGAGGCGACCCACGTAAGTCCGAGGCAGATGATACCAAACACAACAGCTGCAACAAAGATGTATACAGTCAACAAGTCTGAAGCGCGTGTTCTGCTTTATAGCCCACTGAAGATTCTCAAACCCTGATGCTACGATACATTTACACACGTAAACGGTATTTTAGTGGCTTCCATGCATCATAGCTTGGTATTAGACCGGAGTGAGGAAAATATAAAATAATATCAGGCAAGAGAAGTATTGCAAATAAAATTGACTTATCTCGATCTGCATATAGCGTAATGTGCACGATGGAGCAAGTGTCAGTGTGTATATAGAACACAACTGTGATACACTGAGAGGACATCTGATCAACAGCTTCATCACATTTCAAACTATGTCGCCATCAGTTAAATGTGCAAGAACATATTCATCTACAAACTCACTTTGCTTTCATTTTGATACGAACACAAATATGTGTAATTTAACGCCAAAAACTATATAAGCTTCACGTATTTACGAGCGTCACTAATTGTAACGTCACATATAAGTATATATAAGTATACAAGATTGCCAATGCACAGGTCCCTACAACCATATTTCCTACCCCAGGGGGTGCGTAATGTTGTTCACGTGTTATAATGTTGTGTCGCAGACTGGTTCCTGTGTGGCCATGCATCGTGTCATATTTCTTTTGTGATGCTTGCAACAATCTTTTCTGATGAATTTGTTGTAGACGAGCGCATTAATGGAATCCCCTTTTGTTCAGGCCACATATCAGTGAAGTAAAGGAAAATGTTTTCATAAAATGAATTCTCTGATCGAATAGAACTCACATTGACATAAATTAAAACAGCGAAATCTAATCGTGTACCTTTAAAGAGGCTTTGTCTGTTGCTATGCTACCCACCTATGATCTTGGAGATATTGGTGGCTCTGCTCTCGCTGATTCCTTTTAGAAAATAGGGTTTGAGTATATCCTGGAGGGTCACAGCCGCCATAGAGTTAAGTCCAGACGATATCGTGCTGTAAACATGACATATAAACACGTCTTGACAATAACACATATAGTATATACTGTCATTAAATAAATGACCTTACGTTGAATACACTACAAAAGTAAACACTTTCAACCGGAGAAGGCTATATCCTGATACATACTATTCACGCGAACACTTGTGAGTGAGTGAATGCTGTTTTACGCCACGCTCCACAATGTTACAACTATATTACTGTGACTTGTTATTAATCTAGTCTCGACCAAGCAAGTGGTTGATAGCATGATAAACGATCAACGCCGTCAGAGCACGATGGCCTACGGTCGCTACAATCCTATAAGGACCCCGACCATCACTGCCGGGAATCCATATCGTGTGACTGGTGTCGTGAACGTGGCTGTCATGCAGTAGTGATGTTTCTGTTTGCTTGTGTTGTTTGCTTTTTTCCTATTTTTTGTAAAAATAGCCGTATCTCTTTGCTGCACTTTATAAACGATCGTAGTTTTGACCATGAGTTGTTGCCACACATTGCTACGGGCTGTCCCATTGTGTTTTCCTAATAGATCCCCGATTCAAATCTGTATCGCGCATAATAGTCTTCAGGAAAGTGCATGCCCCGTGATCTGAAACAAATGTAACATGATTCCCTTTCTAAGACACTTGCTTTCAAATACAATTACTTACATTTTAGATCATGCAGCAATATATTTACTTTTGGAGTCGGAAACCAAACCATGCGCTCTTACACCGAGATACGTTTACCGTAGCTAATAATAACCTGTTATCAAAACGGCAATTAGGTTTTTGCGGTGTGATCTGGCGTTGCACAGCTTACAGTGAATAAAAGCGACAACACCATTCCATAATCAGAATTAATTAGTCCATTGTACAGTTCCGACTATATCATAAGCATGTGTTTATGAATCACTATCAAATAGTGATGATGCCAAGTGTTCGCGAAAAGGTGAGCGTATCCTGCCCCGACGGTGGCAGCCATCATGCACTATCACTATCCCCTCGCTATCCATGGAATTATGTAGTGAGCGGAATGATCCGATTGGACCCTGGTGGGAAGGGTCTCGTTCCACAGTGTGACCTTAGCGTTACGATTACTGTCGGAGTACGTCTGTAGGGCCAAGATCGCGTTTTGAAACGATTTTGATACCTCGTTTCAGTTTCTCTTGTTACATTCTGTCCCGGCATCCCAAAGCGGGTGAACACTTAACCTGAGTACAAAATCACGCAGCACGTTATTTTCATTTTGATTTTTCCATTCGCACCTCCTGTCTTACTGTTATTACATCTCTTGTTTATACATATATATTATATTTCAAACACGTATTTCATAACCATGGAAATATATATATCAGAAGTAATTCCTGGAATATTGTTGTAAAGCACGAGAAGGTGTATATCGACCGACCTGAGAGCGCCACTGAAGATTGAGGCAACAAACAGGCCCGGTATCCCTGGCACATGGCCCAGCACATCCATGACAAACAGCGGGAACAGCTACAACATTGAAGTAGACATCAAGAGGTCATTGTTAAATTTCAAAATCGATTTTAAATTCTACTATACACATGCACACACGTACACACTCAAACCCTTACAAAATGTACAGCACTACAAAAACCTAAAATTCGGCATTAACAGGGGAGTATATTTCGTGTGGGTGGAAGCCGACACAAGATCATTCTATAACTGTCAATAGAGCCCGAGAAATAGTTCTGGTTAAGTCAATCGCGGAAGCCGATATCTATAACGTATGGTAAGTCTTTATTTTAAGTCATAGACACATAAAGTAAACACGGCAGACAAGCGGAGTTAATACGGAAGACGAGAAATAGTGATTCTATCAGGCAAACAATAATTACTGTTGGAGACAAACAATTGACATTTAATGTTGGAGAGCAGTTTGGTTCCTTTGTTACACCTCACACAACTGAACACCTGGTGTCTCAATGTCTTTACACTTCGTCAACGAAGGGTCGACACCGCCTTGACGATTATATTTACCTGGTCAGAGGCGAATACAAGACCGAAGCTGATTGGATCACATGTTGCATAGAACGCATACATAACGATGCCGACCATGCTGCAGAGCATGAGGATGACGCAGAGGCCGGGGGCGTTGATCCAGAGGGCGCTGGAGAGGAAAACATGGGTGCATGAGTGAGGGAATGAAGTAATGATCTTTGTTCATCCCATACTGGATGTTAAATGGTCCTTACACTTCAAACCAGTGGCCGTTAACGTGAGCATGAAAACATTGATACTTAATCCACCTACAGGTGAAATTGGGTTATCTACGTGAGGGAGTGTGTTTTGTCTGGACGTTTACATCGAGTGAGTGAGCAGTCGATGGTTTCGAGATTCTCTAAAAGGTTCTTTCCAAAGAATCTATATTAACTAAACATGCTTGACAAATATTGACATATATTGTATACAATCACCGTCATTAAAACACACTTACATCTGGGCATCCTTCAAAGAAGAACACGTGAGCGCTCTCTGGACCTGAGCTTGGTTGGTTCCATATACGGAAGCCCACAGGAACCCTGCACCAATTGTGAGAGACCAGAAGCTATGGCGGACAGCCGGGTTAGGGCTGAAACTGTAAATATTTAGAGGTTATAGTGAGTATGTTTTTACGCCGCTTTTAGCAATATTCCAGCAATATCACAGCTGGGGAACACCAGAAATAGGCTTCACACATTATACCCATGTGGGGATTCGAACCCGGGCTTTCGGCGTGACGAGCGAACGCTTTAACCACTAGGCTGGCAACTGACGTTAGAATACTGCCTCTGCTAATATTAGAGCAGTGTCGCGACTACGAACACCAGAAAGGGCTTCACACATTGTAATCACGTGGAAAAATGAAATTGTGATTGGGCGTAACGAGGTATGCTACCCCTCTGCAGTGAGTGGGTACCCGGTAGGATGAGATTGGAATAAATGGAAACACATCCAGTAAAAACCCACAGCTTGGGTAGCACACTCCACATTAAGATGACGATGCAAGATCATACACACTAATCCGCTGACATGGTCATAAAATGACTTGTATCTGATTCTGTGGAATTGTGTGGATTCTATAGAATCGAAAGAGTCAGAGATCGAGGTGCCATTACAGTAGTGATAACTCAGCAGGTGTGACTTGACAACTCGGAACACTGCCAACGTGATTCAATCGGGCAATATGTTATCACATACTATTCGCCTGATTCGGCCATCTTCGGTCCAGGCACCTTTGTCTACTTTGCAGGAAGCCTTTATAATTACAGATAAAGAGAATTTACTGTCGACTACAAAGAATGAATGGAATTCCCTTGTTTCGGTTGTGTTGGAGGTATTCAGATCTGCGACCCGTCAAAGATTAATCGGATATATTCAATTCATCGAGACGCCAAAGAGTAATCTGATATAGCACTAGCACCTGCAGACTTGTTTGTTTACAACTGAGCACGGACGCTTAATTTGGTCAGCCGAAAAAATATAACTTGCTGGATGAAAGCATTGTATCTTTGTTTTACGGATAACAAATGTATTTCCTGTTTCGCCTAGTGGGTAAAAAGGGTACATTTGTCGAGAGAAATGCAATTATTTTTTTATTTGTTTATCCCAAACCAAGATTGAGCCCGTTTCTTACAGGTGAGGTGAAATAGCGTTTAACGTGGACCCTTAGACAGCGACGAACCCGTGAAGATCCGGGTTAGAACAGAATAAATCTCATTAAAATCAGATCTTAGTTCTCGCTATCGCTAAACAAAGATCCGAGGACATACCATTAGGGGTAATGTCAGAACGAACTTTCATCCAGCCAATCAAAGCGTCGCTTACCAGATCATGAAAGTGACAGTCGGAATGTATTTTCTAATCATGCAACCTCGAAAACGTTAACACGGGGTATTCCAGGGACAGTTACGACATGTACGACTGATTCCGTCAAAATTATCGTCTATTTCTCGCTTCCGTGGGATAAACATTTGAACGGAGGAGGCGTTGCACAGTATATGGGAAGCACTGCTATACAATCTCAAGCATATATTAGACATTCCGGAATGTTCGTTTGTTCAGTTTTCAAAATTTCAATCGAGAACTTTGTCAACATATTTTTCAAGTGTAGTCTGAAATGGAAGTCGCCAGGTTGAAACGAGTGCCGTAAAGCTCGAGAAAGCTGCTTTCTAATTGGCTGATATCGACTTCTTGTTAGTCATTTCAGTGGTCGGTCAAAGTTCGCGGAAGGTCGTTCTGACGTGACCCGTAATGGGATGTCCCCAGACCTTTGTTTAGTGTCAGCCAGAACTTAGATTTGATTTTAAAGAGATTGTAACATAAGCCGGGATCGGGTGGTCAGCTAGGCTCGCTGACTTGGTTGATACAACCCTCAACCAACAGACTCCCGTCCTCCACCGACAAAGGGGCGCAACCTACGGCAAGCGGGTTGCCCAATTCGGTCGCCTTTTACGACCATCAATGGTGTGCTTGGGACACATTTTACCCCGGGTCCCCACGGGGTAGGACTTGACAATGTCAAGCAAAATTTACATCATTTCTACCATTTTGTAAACATTGTTCCGAGTTTAAGGGAAGTTTTAGGGAAGTCCCGGTTCTTTCCGAACTCCGATCGTTTGAAAACTGTAGTCATTTGTGCCGAACTGGGTACAGTGAAATCAGTAGACACGAACTCAAGGGCATTCGAAGGATATACGGCTACAGCCAGAAGATTCCCGTGAAAATCCGGGGTAGAATAGATCTTCAGAAACCCATGCTTGCCGTAAGGGGCGACTTTGCTTGTCGTAAGAGGCGACTTACAGGATCGGGAGGTCAGGCTCTCCCTGACAATGATGCATGTCATCGTATCCCAATTTCGTGGATCGATGCTCATGATGTCAATCACTGGATTGTCTGGTCCAGACTTGATTATTTACAGACCGCCATCACATAGCTGGAATGTTGCTGAGTGCGGCGTTAAACAAACAGACAAACAACAATTATACAGCGGCGTGCATGTAAGGGTGTGTATCTGCTTGTACCAGGCCGGACTAGCCCATAGACATACAATACGCAGTCTTAACATGGATACCCCACTCAGACACAGTATACTAACTCCGAGCTTACCAGTCCTTGTTTTATACCCATAATGCTGAGCGCGAGGCATGGAAACACGTTTTATAACGCACTTGTGTATGAAGAGGCCAAGGATAGAACCACCGACCTTCCGCTCACCGGGCAGACGCTATATCCACTAGACCGGTGATATACTATAGCTGTATTATTGCTGACAACTGCCGCCATTCACTCACTCTGTGAAGTAGACTCTGTGGTTTTTCTCGGCAATATCCCAGGCATTGCTGAAGCCGCCGATCTCTATACAGCCCTGAATTAGGGCGGCTGCTATCCCCGCCAGCATCATGAAGATCTGGAACGTGTCCGTCCACAACACCGCCTTCATCCCACCCTGAAATAATAATACATAAATGCATAAAAAAAATAAACCAAATAATAAATAAAAGAAAACATAAAGGATACAAAATAAATATAAACAAATTCAAATTATATTATTCAAGAATTAAAAAAACAATCAATCTAGCTAGATGCCGCTGGCTTCCCTAAAATCCGTATCTGTTTATACACTATTCACTTGAGTGTAGCTGAAGATTTTTTTCAAGTTACTGCTGTGATTCTGCTTTGGGAGATAAACGTTCAAAACAACCTTTAATTGCAGTTTGAAAATAAATTTATATGTTTTATTTCTTTCACATGGCGGAACATACACGTATACAGAAAGGCTTTTGTAATCCGCAGAGAAGAGTTTCCTAAATGTCACCAAGTCTGATCAACTACTGGACTACTAGTATTTAATATTTATATATACATCCAAGTTGCTACAACAGAATGGGCGGGACTAGCGAAATACAATATAAACATATAGCACTGTATAGCGTAAGGCAGCAACCAATTATTATTATTATTCGTAGTATTATATTATGCATTTATATACCGTACGTATCCAGATGCTTGTATCTGCACAAATACGGTTTATTTGTTCCCCGGCCAACTTATCTTGTGCTCGAAGGAATGGCGGTGAAATGTATATTTTATAGTTACAATTACATGTCGTCTATAGTAAAGAGTACTATGTACTCATATGACAGCTATTGCTACATACTAGGCTAATCAAGTAATACGTATGTGCATAGGTATGTCTTACAATAGCTGTGTAAAACGTACAGACAATCCCCACAGCGGCCACGGCTCCCCACAGAGACAGGCCAGTTACTGAAACAATAATTGGACAACACATATAGGACATTGTGGCAGAGAACAATGCCACACAATACACATAGCAATACATGCCACACAATATATAGAAACCATGGCACACAATATACAGAACAATGTCACACAATATATAGAAAAATGGCACATAATACATAGAACAATGTCACACAATATATAGAATGGCACACACTACATAGAACAATGGCACACAATAAATAGAATAATGATACACAATACATAGATCAATGTAACACAATACATAGAACAAAGTTACACAGTACCTAGATCAATGTTACATCCTACAGTAACTCACTCATCAATACTCAACGATATGTATTGTCGTGAAAGGCCGCCATCATATAAAATAGTTGGTATAATAATTTAATCGCTTTCCCAACATGTGACACAGTAGCAGTACCTGCGTTCAGGGCAAGGGATGGGCCGTACAGCACTATCGCCATGTAGATAATCTACAATGAAAAGCATCAGTGCACACGTAGCTACCTTATCTTTCATCGGGTTACTATTCATACGAAACACCTTCCAGAAGAAAATTCAGGTAAATGAAGCAGTTACTTAGATATATCCTGTGTGATGCAAGAAATAAATATGTAAGTATGGTATATCGTAGGTTTGTAAATTTAAGCCGACAAAAAAACATGATTTGTTCATTACCTAGTCGGTTTCTCAGACCCTGGAGCATAAATAAAAAGAATGATTTGGAAAGTCTAGAATGACCCGAGGATGGTTCTGAGCTCCATTTGGATTATATTTTCTTTTAGTTTGTAGAAACATATTTTTACATAAGATAACTTTATTTCTTGGACCAAATGTCATTCTATTCTTTACCGTCTGCGTACAGAAGATGATGGTGCCAGCAGTGCGGACTCCCCTGCTGAACCGCTTCTCCAGATACTGAAGAAAGAAAACACAGGATTGTTACAAGAAACAATACACATTATTAGAAAGACCTACGAGCAAAACACACATTAAGACCGAAGATGGCACAAAAAGTGGTTTAGATCAACCCACAAATGAATCGAAACAACAAACTCTGCTAAGGTTACGAAAATAATAACTATAATGGATTCTCATTTGCTATAGCAATCTGAAGCATGCTTAGATCGTGGTGAAGGATCTAAGTATCCCCAACTGTCGCGCTTTTGTCATCGAAATCTGTGAAATGATGGATCTGATAATGATAAGACAATTTCGTAATAGGTCCTCCAACAGTATGAGGACCAAGTGTGTACACAGATGACAAGAGGTAAAACGTCGGTATTATCTAGATCTAAGCCATCATCTTGATTTTATCGTGTGGCTAGCCTTGAATAATCACGTGCTCGGGTATTTGTTTAGTGGGGTGGTATACTAGTATATATACGGGTGAAGAACGTAGTCCAAGGAAATCTGGACAAGACACGGTACCATCTGGAACACGTTTTCCTCTCATACATAAGGTAAGCCTTGTTGTATACACATACAAAAAATACACCTTATGGTTATTGATTGATGCGATTTAAACTGTATCGGGTGGTAACAATATTTGAAAGTGAAATAAGCACCTGAGAAGAAGTTAAGCACCGCTCTTTATTTTACAAAATCCCAATCTTTCATGCATTTTTGAAAAATGTCTATATGACATTAACTCAGTTAGAAATACTTGCTGATAAATACTGAGTTATCGTATGACGCAAAGAAGCAGGGGAGTGCGGATTTCTGTTACAATATCAGTATGACTAATATAAGTATGTAAACAAACACAAATGTCTTTCGTCAGAGGATTAATTAAGGTTACGATGTAAAACAATTTGGACATTTTTAATTAATTAATTAAGCGACAATAGCATTTTCATAATCATAAGACATCTCTTCTATAAGGAGAGTCCACTGTACGATTCCGACTAATTCAACAGCACGAGTCAATGAATCACTATCAAATAAGAGGTATATATTTGCATGGTTGACCACCTTGGCAGATTATGAGTATCTGTACTAAAGATTTGTTTATGGACTATTTGGAAGGGGTATTAAAGTGTAATGACATTGGCTATACCAACCTCTTTAAACTTTAAAGTTAAAGCCAGATCACGTATATTTTACTAATCCCAACAGACGGAAGTGGAAAGGCGAACAGGTATTACAAATAGAAATGAGTGTAAATATAATAAGAATAATACTGAATTTCATCCCATCGACAGTGTTGACATGCTCGGATTAATTGTGAGATTGGCATTTGGAGATTGAATTGATCAGTAAGTCTAGCGTATTTTTTTAAAGTAATAGGTGCATCATTATTCAATCGACTTGTCAGGAGATTTTGAATCATTCTTATAAATAAATGTATTTGTTCATTTCGAAATAAAAGTTGTTTTAAAGCTATATACTAGTCAACATGACACTCATTCAAAACAGAATGACTTAACTTTATCATCTCCATACATAATGCATAATGCATACGATAGTGCTTCATCAACACATGCTCATGATATAGTCGGAATCATGCAATCGTCACTATTTTCAGAAGTGATTTCTTATGAATATGGAAAGGGCTTTATCGATTTTATTGTAAATGTACCAACGGTTTAGTGTTATTTTTCTAATTTGGCAGGGTACGTAACTTTACTCTCGTTTTAGGTGAAAATTGTACACATCAACACCTTTCTTACCAATATAAGCATGGACGTTGTGAACATCACCGACCTCCCAACTACTACGCCCAAGTCAATGTATCCACCCGGCTACTTTGCCATCCCTGCTGAAGACATGGTCAACTTCCGGATTGCAATGTACACGACCATCATGCCTGTAACAGCTCTCATTGGTCTTGTTGGAAACGTCATCAGTTTTGTGGTCTTATTACGTCAAAAGATGCGGGACACAACCAAGATGGTTCTCCTCTCCATAACTGTCTGTGACTTTCTACACCTTATTGCGATGATACTCTTTTGTCTGATCGGAGTCACCATTGCTTTAGACTATAAACCTGGACTTTATATCTCCCGAAAAGCATTTCCATATTTTGGATCTTTCCTATTGTCAATTTTTGGTCGTACATCAAATTTAATGATCCTTGTAATTTCGCTTGAAAGAGTTTGTGCAGTGATATATCCTTTGAAAATCAAATCACTTTGGACAAGGAAGATAATGGGCTTTTCAATATTCATCTGCAGTCTTCTGGTTGTAGCTTTGTTTCTTCCCTATTCCCTGGAGTTCGTGCCTACTGATTTCCCTATACCCAATTCGACACAAATGACCACAGTTCTCAAACTGTCGGAGTTCGGAAAGAACCGGGACGTTTTTGCTACGCTGTACATCGTCAGAATGTCCCTCCTTCGCTTGATCCCCATCGCCGTCGTCATCATCAGCAACATCGTCATCATTGTGGGACTGTACCGCTCCAAGTCTGCGCGCTCCCAGATGACGGGTCAGAATCGTGACGGGACGCCTGCAGAACAGCGCATCACTCAGACATTGTTTGGTCTGGCTCTTCTGTTTTTCTTTTGCATGACACCTGGTGCCCTCAATATCCTAAGCCAGCTATTTGACTACGAATACAATTTCCCCAAAACTCGGAACAACGTCTACAACCTGGTCGGGATACTGGGAGTTTGGCTTGAAATTGTCAACTCCTCCGCTAACTTCATCATCTACATTATATCCAGCAGACAAATGCGCATGGAGTTCAAACGTGTCATCACGTGCCGGAAGGCGACATTTTCAGACCAGAAGTCCACCACAGACACGTCCGCAAGTGAATTGAGACTATCCACGATTTCGGTCTCAGCAGTATCATAGGGAATGTGGCGTATTTCGGCGAGTAAATAAATTTATTCAGCATAGCAATGCACAAATTGACTGTTAGAGAGAAACCTGAAACCCGCCTTAGCTTGGTGAGTTTAAAGCTCTCATTACATGATGCTTGTTGCGGATACTTTCGGTCCAGAAGTACACAGCAAGTGATACAGTCAAATCTTTATCGGTCTCGATTGTGTGTTAAATGGACATAAACCAATATGCAAATATCTTGCACAGGGTGAGAGTAATTAATTCATAATGCTGTAATAATGCTGTAATAGTATCATTTATTCAAAACGCTGTTTTATTTTGAAAGTAGAATTGACTTTCTTGTCATTTCTTGTGATTTACGTTTAATAAAGCTTTACGTTTCCTTACTAATTGTTACTATTTTCATCATATTACAATGCAATGCACCCCCAGTTAGAGTCAGCTTTATTCGGGAACATTGAGCCTCGTTCGGAATACAGTCATTAAATGTGTCACCCTAATTTAGATATTACAGACTATTTGCAAAGGGCGCCGATAGGATAAGATGCTTCGTGAGTGGAACTCTGACAGTTTTTACACAAGGGAAGGAGGCTACGCCGTTTCATGCTTGTGTACTTGGATTTACCAGACAACCTAGACTCACACTTAATCAATGAAAACATTTCTGTAAAATAATTATAATTTAATTCTTCCAAAGAACCTTTGTTAGTTTGATTTAGACTTGCCTAGGCTTTTAGAAAAAAAATGCCTAAAAATATATATTCCACAGGCATGACGCACGACTACAAACAACCCAACTATGAGTCCAAATGACATTTCGATTTTGAATTAATTGTTTCACCTTGCCTAATTTTAAAGGGGCGTTTTCATTTTAAAATGGGCATCAGGCATAAAATGTAACGTTGCATCATGAAAAAAACCCTACGGGAGGGGTTAGGGCTATAATGGTTATCAGAAGCGAGGATTTCTGACAGGAATGTGTCAAATTGTATAACCTGTTTAGGTTCAGTGCGTCTGTGCGTGCGTGTGTTTGTGGTGCATTCAGTATGCCAAATGAATAAACTGCCGGGAAAAAGAAAGTATACATTCATCTTTGATGGTGGCTAAAAATGAAACAAACAAGAAATGGTTATTTGAAGGTGATGTATTTGATAGGGCACCATAGTTGTGTTTTGGACCAGTCCTTGTTTTATACCATTAATGCTGAGCGCCAGGAAGGGTAACAACAAGTACAATATATTAACGTAGTTTGAAACCACAGACCTTCCTCTCTCCAGGCAGACGCTCTATCTACTTGACCGCGGAGGCGGAATATATATTCTTCAGTGTCTGACGGCAGGATTTCATTGGACAGTTCATTGCGAAATAAATATTTTGAAGCACTTTTTTCGCAAACCCACAACTTCAAATATTGATCTTACTTCATCACCTCGTGTTGCGAGTCTTAAATTATTTAAAGCAAGTGTGACAAATGTTTTAAAGGGAAACTTGATGTATTAGGTTGTTATGTGAAAGTTACTAACAGTCCTGGTAGAAAGTGCTTTTGAAACCTTTAAATTGAAAACTGAATTCGATTGTCAAGGACGGCACTTAGGTGCCACGTGAACAGTTATGTATCAGGTCATTATCATAATCCAATACCTCAGTAAAACGACTGTAATCACAATTAGTCATCATTACCTGAAGTCGATATAACAAAATCAATTGTGCTGACACAGTACATAGAAGTCTCGGGGTCAATATTGTATTTCACCTTGGGTATTGCATAAAAGGATTGACAATACCAGTCTTCGTTGGCAGTGCGACCGAATTTAAGAAGAATTAATTCATTAAGTTCGAAGAGGTGCACATGTGCGTGTGCGTGTGCGTGTGCGTGTGCGTGTGTGTACGCGCTCAAGTTGTTTGTTTGCCTGTTGTTTAGCACCGCACTCAGCAATATTCCAACTATATGCCGGTGGTCTGTAAATAATCGAGTCTGCACCAGACAATCCCGATATTGGCATCAAGAGTATCGATTCATGCAATTGGTATACGATGACATGCCATCAACCAAGTCGCCGAGCTTGACAACCACCCGTGCGTGCGTGCGTGCGTGCGTGCGTGCGTGCCTGCGTGTGTGTGTGTGTGACTGTCAACTATTTAGGCAAATATCGTTATTGTGATCGTTTATATATTGATATCATTTATGTGGTTTTCATGATAACGATTAGGTGATTGGATGAATGTTGTTTAACGCCGGAATCAGCAAGAATCCCTCTATAGTACGGCTGCGGTGGTGAACTGTTTGACCTACGATTTAACTCAAAGGTTTAAACACCCGATCATCATTGATCTGCTCTCAACTGTAAGCATGGGAAGTAATGTACCAATAGTCGAGTGATCTTGATAGTTTTACGCATAAGTACCAGCATGGTAACATTTCGATATACCAGCTGGTTATTGACAGAGAATAGGAGTGAAGCGGTGTGCAGACATGCTGCTATGTCTCTAGCCAGGTAACGTGCCCTGTGTCACGTGATTAGCAACAGTACGCATCGTGGGAGATCTGGTGGACCGGAACAGGGAATATTCTTGAGAATTCTACAAGTATACGCCAGACAAGAACCTAGATGAACATGACAATGACACAAATTATAGGTCTTTTCAGGATTAACCATTGTGCCAAAATCACAGCTGTAACTTTTGCCTTTGCGTCTCGCAAGTCTTGCCAAGTTTATGTTAATGTTCAAATAATCTTGGCGTTCACATGCGCAGTTTGAATAACACTTACCTCATAGGCGCTTGTCACTCCAAGGTTGTAGAACACGGGAACATATATGTGCGCGGACATCCCGATAGCCAGGAAGTAACCGAACCCAATCCATATATACACCGTCGTGTAGTTGTACATCTCCGCCGGCGTTCCCAGCAACGTAATAGCCGACATGAAGCTGGCCAGCAACGACATCCCGACGGGAACAACGTGCATGTTGCCACCAGCTAGTAAGAAGTCCTTCACGCTTTTCTTACGCCGATCTTTAATGGCGTAAAATATGCCTATTCCGGCGGAAAAGAGCAGCGTTCCACAGAAAATGACAAAATCCAGCCAATGAAACGAGTTCTTCTGTCCCGTCTGATAACTGTACTGTCTTTCCGCCATCTTTGCTCACAGAACCTGAAGATGTGTCTGAAAACCAAAGCGTTTTTGTCACGACAAGTTTTATTAGTGGTGTTACATTACAAGGGACATGCAAATGTTGTGTGGTTTAGCGAAAGGGTCATTCATCAAGTAGTCAACATATTTACACAGCCGTATGTGAAACCGTGCTGACGCAGCACATGACAAAACATTGACTAGATAACAACTAGTGGACAGATAACATGAATAAAATACATGAAACAATTGTACACAAATGCAGGCCATTGTACAGAAAAGAAACTATGTCAAATATGTGGCAAGAAGTTTCTTTGAATACTCAAAGCAAAAGTTGTATTGATACTATACTATACTGTACTATACTATACTTTACTGTACGGTACGGTACGGTACGGTACTGTACTGTACTGTACTATACTATACTATAATATACTGATAAAGACTGGGAGATTGGTCAGTCTTCTAGCTGTCAAGACATGAGAGTGTAACTTGATGCCTTACTGTGGTATATTATTTAGGGTATAAAAGAAAGTCAAAGCAAATTTTCATTCCCTTCCAAGCGAGTGAAGGAGTATGATTTTACACAGCTTCTAACCAAATTCCAGCAATATCACGACGGGGAACACGAGTAAATGGGCTACACACATTTTACCCATGTAGGGAATCGAACCCGGCACTTCGGCGTGACGCGCGAACGTGTACTAATAGACTATCCCACCGCCTTTTAGACTGCTACGCGTCTCTCATGGGGGATTAAAAGAACGTAACATTTCATCATAGCTTGTGTAAGAACACAACAATTTCCCGGCAGGATAACATTCTCAGCTTTTGATTTAGTTGAAAATCAAAGTTTTTTAAAATATTTTTTTCAGAAAGACTAAGGGTCCCTCTTTTTCCCAGCTAAACACCAGCGTCCTCTCTATCCGTGAAGATCTGGGGTAGTATTGATCTTCAGCAACCTTTGCTTGTCGTAAGAGGCGACTAACGGGATCGGGTGATATGGCTATCTGTCGATAAAATTTTGCGATATATTGTAATGCATGATGCCGTATTATGATAGGCACCGATCCTTATTTTAACCATGACGACGGTTTCGGGAATGGAACTCTGCAAATTCAAAGAAAGGGTGTTTGACCTGTTTCGTAAATACACCTGCAACTGAAGAATGTGTCGATACGTACTGTATCTTGCAGGAAATAAGGCGTATAATTAACCGGTTGGTCGATGTATCATTACATTGTTAGCAAGGACGCCTAACTACTTATTTCCAATAACGTTAGTAATTGAGTATCTCCTCTATAAATTGATCATTTTGTTGAACTTGTCAATGATGTACTAAATAGCGGCCACTTGGGCAACAGACTTCGGCAACATTTGTTATTACTCCACTTCATAAGAAAGGGGATCGATGAGACCTCGCACAAAGCAGCTGTGGGTGAGCTATTTTGCAAGGTCGTAAATGACAGATTAGTAGATCATATGACAAGACGTAATCTCCAAGAAAACTGTCAGTCAGGATTTAGGACAGGATTCAGAACATCTGATAATGAGTTTATATAGAAACTTTTAGAAAGGCTTTTAATTTAATAGATCGATCACTATTATGTCAAAACTTTGGTTTCATAAAATCTCGGGAAACGTCCTCCAGTTAATATCGTCCCTTTTTAGTGAATTATCGTATAAAGTATGAAACTACAGAAGGTAACTCATAAATATTTAATTCAAATATAGGGGTCCGACAAGGAAGCATTTTATCTCCCACACTTTTCAATATATCTATCAATGACCTCCTTTCATACTGTAGTTAAGACAACTGTGTATTACTAAAGAGTATCGATATCTTTTACTTGTTGTTTGCAGATGACTTAGTCCTTTTGGCAAATTCACCTCAAAAGTTAAAAGAACTACTCGATAATGTCAGTTCATTCTGCAAAAACAACAAGATATGATAAGACAAATATAGTGATATTTGGCAATCCTGGTAAGCTGGAGGTTAGAAATAATTGGAAAAATGCTCGACAAAGGATGCTTGTCACACATAAATACAATTACTTAGGAATTACATTTCACTGAGATGGTAAGTTCAAATACAGTGCAAAATCACTTCTAAAAAGGATAAGGAGCATACCGTAGACTTTAATCTGATATTTTTAATCATGAAGTTCCAGGTGACCCTGGCATGTACATTATTCAAAACATTAATAGAACCAGTTATTTTATACAACAGTAAAATAATCAATGCAACTCAGTCTAAATACAATACCCTATTCCATAACTCATTTCAGGATACATCTACTTCTATGGTACGGGAAATAAACTTAGGACATAGAGATTAGTAATAAAGCGACAAAACCCTGGAAATAAACCTAGAGCCCTATATCAGCCACTGTCAACTCGTGTTCATTTTGCTAAACTACCTCCAGGTGACCACATAACTAAACATAGACTTAGGAAGAAGCTCCAGACCTCTAGTACCTTTAAATCAACGGCTTTTTTCTAATTGTGCCATTACTGAAGATGGTGAACATTATATATTACACTGTACCAAACATAGTCATCAAAGATTTCTTCTGTAAAAAGTGCTAGAGAAAGATTGTCATAATTTTAGGCAAATTGAAGAAAATGATTTATTCCTAATACATTTGAGTAAATAATGACTTCAACACCATATATATAATATAGGTCACCATGGTTACAATAATGTGCCAAATTACGTATCTAACGAGAGATAAATATGAATGTATGTACATATCTTATATTTAATTTCTTTATCTTCTTCTGTAAATACTCTCTATGGGTTACCTGTATGTTTATATCAATTGATGATGTGTATGTCTACAAAATTGCTTCTGTTCCGTAATGAAATATTTCTTGCAAGAAATACATCTTATCTTATCCTATTCAGCGAACGTTAACCACACGATACGTTCAGGATAATGTTTCACAACATAACCATTGCTGGTCAGACGCGTTAGTTGTCAAGTTTGTAAATAAGTATCCCCCGTTTGTTAGTTTGGGGGTTCGACGGGGTAAGGCCATTCCGATATCTGACAGAAACACCAGCTGTGTAGACTCCGTAGATTTGACTTCACCATGTGTGCGGCTGGGCAGAGTTCTGGGTTAACGACTCTGTACGTGTGGGAAAGGGGGTCATTGACCTGCTTCCTTAGTGGATTGCCTGTAGCGTTGTTAAGATATAGGCCCGGCTGTTTGCTCCATCATACACTGTGAGTGCTGGAAGGGCACGGGTGACGCAGTCGTCTTATGGGCCAAATACACCTATCCGTACTTTTTCACCCGTATCCGTATCCGCGAAAACCGCTTTCGTATACAATTTCACCACTTTGGCATCCACTCTTGTATACGTATCAGTATCCGTACATTTTGGATACGGGTCCCGCATCCGTTTTGTCCCATCCTATGTCGATTTTTATGGATACGGATCGACCTGCAGATGGAATAACCCCTGTTGTGACGTCACATTATATTGTGAAGCCCATGGGATTTTCTTTTCGCACGTCTTCAACATGCTACGTGTGGGTACGTATGTATGGAAATAACTAGAGCCAAGTGTGAACGTAAATATGGATGCGTGTCACGGATACTGACACGTGGGCGACAAAAACGGGCTATGCAGAGTTGCGGCTATTAGGTGGGCCAGAAACCTATAATCGTGGGTTCGAATCCTGATTCGCCATGATTATGTTTCTAGGTTGGTCAACACCCCCCGATATGAAGGTATGGGTGTAATCTTCTTCCAGGCCACCACGTCTACAGACGTGTGCAAATAACCTACACAAAGTCATGTTTCATGTTCTAAGGAAGCCATCTTCTGCATCTAGTTGTACGCACAGTTTCGGAGTCACGTATCATGTGACGTGATTACGTCACAATGGAATTGTCTTTCTGCACACGACACCAGTATAATGACTACCAGTTAGCAAATAAGCACCCTTTGGTGATGTCAGTAGTAGTTGGAAAGGGCGTTCCAGGTAACAAGTAATGTGTCTATTGAATACCAACACATGTTTGCTTTTGCTAAAAGTTTACAAAAGGTGCATTTCATGTTTACCAATTCTCTAACATCTCCCAGGCTGCCTACGCATTCTATTAGAGGACATAACAGATTCTCACTAGATCTATAAAAACCTAGATATGATATGAGTGAGTGAGTGAGTGAGTGAGTGAGTGAGTGAGTGAGTGAGTGTGTGAGTGAGTGAGTATGGATTTACCCCGCTTTTAGCAATATTCCAGCAATATCACGGCGGGGACACCAGAAATGGGCTTCACAAATTGTACCCATGTCGGGAATTGAACCCGGGTCATCGGCGTGACGAGCGAACGCTTTAACCACTAGGCTACCCGACCGCCCAAGATATGATATGAAGCTAGTCCTCACTTGCATGATATCTCGAACTCCATTAACTCGACATATCGTAAAAGACGAATTTACATTTATTAAGGCCCTGAGTCTGGGCCACAAAGCGACCTGTCCTCTATCTAACGTAAGTCTAAGTCTTGTCTGGAAACTACGCAGGTCGTTGCTAAGATTGTTTTGTCAATGCGGTCATGATAATTTTGGCACCGTCTTCCGATATCGGCACTCATCTTGTCTCGAAATTCGAAAATCTCGAGTTACCACATTATGAATAGGTTTCTCCGGAGCAGAATGTGCGGATAAATATGCAAATAAAAAAGGAATAGGTACTATTTTCGATGTTTACAAACAAACATGGCAGCCCTCTTGTCTTTTGGCGATCGAGTTGGAATTAACCCCGTATTTGTTATCATAATAAACAAAATAGCATCTAATAAAACAAGTTTCAGTTATAAAGGTCACTAAATATAATTACTGTTCTAGTACAGAATATTCTCCATTCCAAAACGCTTTCGCGTGATAAGTTTTGATGATAATGGATGTTAACGCGGTTTTCCTGTATAGTTTAATCGAAGAAAATATCCAATGCATGTTCGTAAAATGTCTCGAAACACAAAATTCCGTATCTTATACGTACACCTGCGAGAAATTAATTAAAAGTAAAACGTCAACTTGGCGTGTTTACAACTTTCGAGATCAGTTCTATAATCCCCCCTACGCCCGGAAAATCTAAATGCGTAATGTTGGCCGTGAGTATATAGCCTCACGTGTTTCCACGGTCTATTTCTGCTCAGTTTTGTTATCAATTATAACTTTGCACCAATGGAACTGCTTCATACCGTTCTCAGGGCAGCCCAGGGCACACGGAAACTGATAGCAAGGAGGCTTCCTAGACTAACACTCAGTCTCTGAAAATATATATTGTTGTCAGAAAAGGGTGTTTCAGAACCTGTGGAAAATCTTCATTTAGGGCTATATCATTGCAGGGCAGGGGAGGAAATAATGTGGTACAGGACCCGTTGAACAGACTAGGAGTCCCTTGTCCTCGAACAACAGCTACATGTGTTTGTAATTGTTCGTAGTTTGTGTGATCTGTTGAAATAAGGTCATTGCGATTAAATTGCATAGAGAAAGATAAAGTAAATCGTGACTGTTTTCTATAACTTGCATAAACAATAACACTATTATAAAACTGTTTCCGTTTTTAATGTAAACTTTATGCCACAATGTCGGAACGTATTTTCGGTTTCTACTCACAAGGGATGTTAACGATTTTGTATACATGGGCAATGTGAGTATACGATCGATGAGTTGTATAGCTGTATTAATTAGTGGCCGTCATTAACCTGGGACTGACAGAGATATAGGTGCATGAATACCAGTAACATTTAACGTTTTGATTTTAAGTTGGCAATTACATGATAACAACGTAACCATTGCACACATATCCTCCACTCCAAACACACTTCTTGTGTGTCCACTCAACAGCGAATGGGACGGAAAGGGTCGATGTAAGACGAGTTGAGTTGAGGTGAGGTGAAATGAACGTCGTGTTCAAGATAATTGCACTTATATAGCGACCTGCATTCACATGTGTGTGTGTGTGTGTGTGTGTGTGTGTGTGTGTGTGTGTGTGTGTGTGTGTGTGTGTGTGTGTGTGTGTGTGTGTCTGCTTGTAATCCTCGTAGTCAGGACTCATGCCGATTTTATAGTGCTAGCCCACTGAGATACCACTCTGTTTAACATGAGCACTCCCCTCAGATACAATTGGCCAGACTCGATTATTTACATACCCTCGTCATATATATATATATTGCCGAGTGTAGCGTTAAACAACAAACAAACAAACAGACAAGGATTATACAGCGGCGTGCATGTAAGGATGTGTGTCTGCTCGTAACAGGCCGGACTAGCCCACTGAGATACCATGCCGCAGTCTTATATTTGAATACCCCACTTAGACACAGTATACTGTCTCCGAGCTGATCAGTGCTTGTTTTATCCCCTAAATACATAGCACAGGCAGGGTAACAACAAGTACCATCTTTTAACCTTTTTTAGTATGACACGGCCGGGGATCGAACCCCCGACGCTAGACCACGGAGGCGGTCGGTCGATGTAAGGACGGGTACTAAAGGGGAAGCGATCCTGTAGACACATGAGTACCCAGCCAATACATGATGGCACCAGCGTTTCCTGATATATAACAAGACCTTTTCTCTTGTATGAGACTAAAGACCTTTCCAAGCGTGGATACAGCTTCTTGGCAAAGCACGGGTGCATTCAGTGATCACAAGTTCTCACAAGCGATGTATAAATGCAATGTGACAACGTGTATGCCAACCTGCGTAACATATAGCTTGCTATATGCATACTCCCAAACGAGCTGAGAAAGGCGCATATACTAACCCTTTCAACTGTAAAACTTAATTTAATTTAACACCCACACTTTATTTGCCTTGGTCTAAATCTGATTAACACATGGTTAACATTGAAGCTTTGTCACATAAATATCAAAATAGCCATAATAAAACGCCAAACACTCCAAACGGCCCTGCGCCGAGCTGGCGACTTACACGTCAACATGACATAGTTGTGATATTGCGTCAGTATGTACACGTAGTGATGAAAAAGTTTCTCTGGGGAAAGCCAGCTCACTGAACTCACAAGGGCTGAAAATATCCAGGAAAGCTTACACTATCAACATAAAAAACACATGTTGGGCAGGAAGTTTGAATTCTCAGCACGACTCGTGTCTAAATTTCAAATATGACCCGACACGTAGGTGTCAGATTTCATCACCGAGGTATTCTAATGCACTTACTTACTCGATGACTCTTAATTCACACGGTGCGTGATACAACGGTACATTAACGGCAACAACCATCCTTTGTTTTTAAAATACAAATCCTGTTGCAGTTCAGTAACGTTCATTTAGAACCCTGATTGTGTTCATTTGGAATGTTCCCAGTCAGGCAACCAAGAGTCGGTGTCGTGAAGATTGTCTATTGATGTTGTGAGGCACTGTTGCATAAATTACGATTACATCATAACATGTACGTGAACGATACAATGAAACTCCGTTTGTTCGGACACCGTTAATCTTGTAACTCCGGACGTACAAAGGGACACAGTTACGTGTTTCTGGAGATAATTCGAACGATTTCATAGAGTATGGTGTCCCCAACACGTCCGGCTAAACAAGGTTTATACATTGATACATCTGAGGAACATAACAGGAGTCAATGAAACATGCAAGAGAGAACTAACATGAAACAGCCTTTTGAATGACTGTTGTTAGTAGTCAAATAGTACGTTCTCTACATACCCCAAGCCAACCAGTGCCTACGTCTAGCGGAAGGAAACACAAGTGCGGCAAATGAGTTAGAAAATACCAACAGTTCTAATTCTGATTGACATTTTGTGGAAAGAACGGCCGGACTAAATGGACATTCTAGTTAATAAAATTCAAGTCGTTAAATAAACTACATTCTCAATCTGATTACTATTTTTTTATGTTATCAAATTAGCAGTTTCTGATGGCCCTGAGTACATACAGTCAATGTCTCAATTCCACACATATCACAAATATCAGACCGAGACTGGAACAGGGTACAGGTTATGAAACGCACATGACCCCCTTACCCACACATGACAGATGGTTGACGACAAGTTCGCACAAAAGAAAATGTTAACAAAAAGAACATGATTGTCGTGATTAAGAACACATAGCCATATCCGTCAAAGAACATGTACATACAGGGTTTTAAACATTCATGCTTACCGCGTCTTCGCGTTGAGGTGCCTCTGTGAGCACTTTGCTACTGGCTAAAAATACATTTAGAACACTTCCTGCAAAGGGCTTGACATACCTCAAATCGCCGCTAGTTCTTTCCTCGGATATAAACACACTTAAATCGAGGAGAAAGGCAAACTGGCTTCCAGGGGAAACAGACTGGCAGACCTTGTCCGTATCAAGATTATACCAGTATCCGTCTATGAACGGTCTCTGTCCGAAGCAAAAAGTTCACGAAGGGTTATTTTAAAGCTAAAGCAGAGTTGAGCATCAGGTTACGCTGACGAAGAGGTTGCTATAAACACTCTCCCTGTGAAGACGGTTCAGGGGATAATATGACACGGCAAGGCATGCATCCCTCGAGTAGCCTGACCATTAGACTTGCACAAGTCTCTAAGGCATTTTTAAAAAGGTTGAAGCATAATTTCTTGACTATACACATAATAAGTACAAGTTGTCCCTATAAGAGACTGGCGCCCTTATGTTGTCCGCTTATCTAGACTTGCCTATTATAAGGTTAGAACTACTATACACGCATGGGCTTATCATTCAGTACAGCCTTGGAGCAAGGCTACTTTACCATAAAAACTCGTTGGTTTGTTATTGGGTGCGGTCATTGGTATTCCTAAGCCCAGAAAAACCCAACTTGTTAAGAATGTTTAACTGAATCATTTGATGTAACTGCGAAAGAACAAAAAAAATATATATGTGCTTACACATCAGGGAAACAAATAAGTAACATGCAAAGGATAAGAATTCATTCACATGTAGTCTTGATTCCGGAATATACTCTTCAAGGTCGGAGATACTCGGAAATAACCGAGAACACGTCCCATTTTAATTCTGGAAACCCAATAGTCCAGAAACTCTACGGTCTCTGCCCAGTCTCGGTCAAAGGTATTTACAAAATTAAACATGCTGTCGTCATGGGCGAGGATATTTTCCTTTGCTCAAAACTTATGTTTTCGTTTCGCAAATACATAAATGTATTTCTTTCAAGTATCATGACACAAAATTGAACTCATTTTAACTTAATTCAACGATTTTATAGCGATATTGAAATATTTCGCCCATGGGCGAGAAAAAGGTTTGGCCCATGGGCGAGAATATTTTCCTTTGCTCAAAACTCATGTTTTTGTTTCGCAAATACATAAATGTATTTCTTTCAAGCATCATGACACAAAATTTAACTCATTTTAACTTAATTCAACGATTTAATAGCAATATTGAAATATTTCGCCCATGGGCGCGAAAAAGGTTTGGCTCATGGGAGAGAATAATTTCCTTTGCTCAACAGTTTTAGTTTCGCAAATACATAAAGGTGTTATAAGCATGACACATGACTCAACTCATTTTAACTTAATTCAAATATTTAGCGGCGTTATTATAATATTTCGCCCATGTCTTCGTCAGTCCCTTTAAAGCATTAACAACTTGTGTACAAAGTATACTGTATCATGTGAAATATACTTTATATTATATCATTACATTACTATTTAAAAAGGGCCTTTGGTTGGATGTTTCCTTTATAGATGTTTTACAGATTTCACCTGTTTTACATATTGTAACGATCTTTAATGAACCCGGCCTTACCTCTCAAAACGTCTTGACAGCATATCATACGAATTCATGCGCTTGTACACCAATTCATTGGCGTTATTTTCCACAACATCAAAGTTTAGTTAGTTTATTTTTTATTTCCCATTTTATGTATTGTTGATACATCACACTGGGCAATTACGTGACACTAGGTATGCAATATACAGGTACGCGTTCGCGTATTTCAATGGAAAAAACCGATTCGTCTTTCATTGCATAACGTCTGGCTGAATATCTCACATTCTAACGAAATCTCGAAATAATTACTTAATTACATGTGGTGTCGAACTGACCAATGGGAATTATGTTTCAATGCGACTGAGGAAAACTTGAGTGAATATTGTGACACGAAAGCAACTTTTAAATGCATTGCCAGTTTTGGTATGAAAATGATAATTCTCATATTCTCAATAGTACGTTGTATCTAAATACAGTGTCGGCCTTATTTACAGGTGATTCTACAATACCTGCTCTCGGACAATTACAATCTGCCACACCATGCGTGAATAAACAGTTATGCAGGTGTTGATGTGGGCAAATACCTAGCCTGCATGTGTATATTTATCTGGTGGATACATGTATTACATATTTTCGTTGTGGATATATAAAGCACAAAGACAAAACAAAGTTTATGAAATAACTTAGTGCCCTGATATATTCAACGAGATATGTATCATCGTTTAATGGGTCATTCAATAAAAGTTAGTTGTGAGGCGATATCAAAGGAGCCGCCCAATATACACAGTGTCGTCCGGTGAACTCCCACCCCACCCTGTCCGTCAGAGTTATGTAATCGGTACACAAATATATTTGATGCGGTGTCAGTGTGGAAGGAGTTTGAATTACGTCCGCCACTGGCGACAGAAATCTTCAAAGTATAGTAACAATCAACAAGGTCAATGCCGTACTAATAACCGAGTGACTCACGTAACAACGACTGCCAATCCGTCTGCTACAGCTGCTACCATACCATCTTCCCTGTCACGACTGGCGTATTAACGGCTTATTCAAAATATTAATTTAAAAAGTTCGTTAACAGCCTAACGTATGTCGTATTCAGTCCTCAACTGGATGTTACATTCCTTATATTAGCTAACGGCCCTGTTTGTGAAAATATGTACTAGACATAAGATTTAAAGAATAATAAAATCAATTGTAAGACCGCATAGACCATAAAACCGAATAAAATATGTCTTGGTATCATCTCTTGTGTATTAGATGATGGTAATGACCTGAAATGTTATAACGTTAGATTAGGAAGGAGAAACATTAAAGTGTTTTATAATACTTGGGAACATGAGCAATAGAATGTATTATAAAATAAAATTATTGAACTAAATAACTTGCAAGGGGTACCCAAACTTGTTTGACAGTTTCTCGTGTGTTGTAGACTGTCGAATGCGACTCATGTGTGTGCGTAGGGTACACATATCTATTGCAAGTTTTAGTACTCATACACTTTCTCTTTTTGTGTTGATATAATTTCTATTTTCTTTCATGATATGATTTCATTTTTATCTTTGGCTGCTCAGTTGGTTGTGAAGGAGGACGTCATGTATCGACAGCTGCAGAGTCCAGATGGGACAGGGCTCCAACTAATATTGCCAAAAGAGAGAATACCAAGGATTCCTAGGTCTCTTCACAATGACTCTGGACACCAAAGACGGGATCGAACTCTCAATCTTATTCGATCAAGATTCTTCTGGCCTGGAATGTCTGACGACGTGGAGAAGTATGTGAAAAGCTGTGGAAACTGCATAAGACGCAAATCTAAGACCACTGTGAAAGCTGCTGGACTCGTGAATATCAAATCAGCACAGCCATTGGAACTTGTGTGTCTAGACTACCTAAAGCTCGAGGAATCCAAGGGAGGTTATGAAAACATCTTAGTCATAACAGACCACTTTACCCGTTATGCCATTGCCATCCCAACTCGCAACCAATCAGCCAAGACCACAGCAAGAGTACTATTTGAAAATTTCCTAGTACACTACGGATTCCCAGCTAAACTCCACAGCGACCAAGGAAGAAACTTTGAGGGGAATATCATCAAAGAGTTGTGCCAACTAACTAGAATCAAGAAGACAAGAACGACGCCATATCATCCCCAAGGAAATGGTATGACGGAACTATTCAATCAGACTCTAATGAACATGTTGGGCACTCTTGATGAAGAAAAGAAATCAGACTGGAAAACCTATGTCTCACCTCTTGTACACTCGTACAATGCAACCCGGCATGAGAGCACAGGATTCACCCCATTCTATCTAATGTTTGGTCGTCATCCACGTCTCCCTATAGATGCTTTCCTGGGAACCATAGTGGGAGAAGGACAGGTGAATCACACCCAGTATGCTCAGAATCTAAGGAAACGACTGCGATTCGCCTACAACATTGCCTCCAAGGAAGCTCAGAAAGCAGGCCATCGCCACAAGCACCAGTATGACAAGAAGGCCACGGAGTCCTATCTTCAATCTGGTGACAGAGTGTTAATACGACTGGTTGGACTCACAGGAAGGAACAAACTCTCTGACAAGTGGGCCAGGGATGTCTACACGATTGTGAAACAGCCAAATTTGGATATCCCTGTCTACTGTGTGAAGCAAGAGAATGGGCAAGGGATAATGAAGACTCTTCATCGCAATATGCTTCTGCCACTTCAATTTGTTTCCCCTCCAGCAGTCCCAACCAGGAACCACCCACAACAGCCAAAAATCAACTTCCCTTCAAGTGAAGGAATACCTTGCTGCTGGAGGAGCTCCTGACGAAGACAGTGAAGAGGAAATGGTACTGTTACCAAGACTTAGGAGTGAAGCAAGATAGAGAGCCCAGTCTGACCTTCACATGTCAGGCAACGATCACACTTCCAGTGATCATCCCACTGAGCACAGTTCTTCCTACAGTCTTACCAAGGATTCTCTTGTGTCTTCTGTGTCGGATGGATCCCCTGAGGACCATCAGACCCAGCCAAAGATTCAAGACTCGGGTCCCTTGTACTCATCACCCGATGTTTTGCAAGATCCATAAGTAGCAGCTACATCACCTGATACCAATTCTCATACAGGTTCTGCTCCAGATGATTCGACCTACCAGTCGTATCCTAGTATACCTGAAGAACCTGTGGATGTTGCAGCCACTCATGTTAACACTGTTGGATCTCCTCCAGTCCCATCCCAAACTGACAGTCCAAAGTCGGGGAGGCCTGGATGAGGAGCGAAGAGTGGGTTACCAAGTTTGTTTTAACAACGACCAAGCCAGACACAACGAACGAAGTCTTTGTATAGGATCATTTGTAAGATTGTATATAGTTTTGTTCAGCAGTTGTAGTTTGTATGTTTTGCTCAAGTTCTGTGTTTTGCCTGTGTTTTCATTCAATGGGAATAGCATTATTCAAACCTTTGTTGTTCACTGTGTAAGTTAGTGTGCATTAGTTCCTCCGACTACTTCTCGTTTTTGGATCATTACCCAGCAAACCTCTCCCAGTGACTTCTTCTCATTGGTTCATCCTTTTCAATGTTGGGGACAACATTTTCTAAAGGTGGGGAATATGTCGCCGGCAGCCTTATTTCTACTTTTATCCATCGTAAGGCCGCTCCTCCACTGTCTGCATGTAATGAGTTGTACGTGCTACCCGTACCTGGCTTAA